TGGATACGGTGGCAATTACCCTTAGTCCATAGAGTACACAGTGATCACCTGGTATTCATCCTTTGTTTACAGGTAGCCCTTAATGAATAGAAATAAACCCTGACAATTCAGGAATGATATCATTAAAAATGGCATCCTCTTACAGGAATTCAGTACCTTGATGTAGGTGACCTGAAATTTTGGTAGACTTCTTAATGGCCCATGATACTGCAGACCACCACACTGTCTATCATGCTTCAATTTCTCAGAGAATTGCTACATCCAGGCTCCTTCTCCATCATTTTTCCAATTGCCATTATGTCTTTTGCCATTTCATAATGCCCAATTCCCTTCTGCAATATCTGTCTTAACACACAATCTTAATTTACTGCTACATGTGAATGCCATCAACCAATTCACTTTCTCTCAAGCCTCTGGTGAAAAAAAAAATATGAAATTAGAGTTAATCCTAAACCCTGAAGTGCCCCACTAGACAACTTATCCTGGTTAAATGTATTTAATTAAGTTCATCATCATTCTAGTCAAGTGCCAGATCACATAAGAAGTCTCAAACCCAAACTCATATGGAATTATTCCCCTCCCAGATCTAGAGTCAAACCTACACTTCTGTGGAGTTCTGAAAACCAATTACATACACATAAACTCATTCAGTGTTGTAACAATCAGGTTATTTATATCCCTCTCAGGATAACTATTCCATAGAAATTGATTCACATGGAGCCGTAACATCAGGAAAGCTGTAATCCAGCTGTATCCAAACCCTCTTGCTTCCCTGACAGCTACTATTAAGCAGGCAGCAAACATACCCCATGTAACTGGATGCAGAAGGGGTCTCATGGTTGCAAATTTTCTTCTCTCATACTTGAGATTATCACGGCCCTGATGAATTAACCTTATTTTCCACTAAATATGCAAAAGTTATTTCAAGAGGTAATGAAATATGGGCAGTAACCACTAGCTAACCATGAGAGAATTGAGTTCAGATCCCTTGAAAGAAAGCAAAAATAGCATAGTTGAATTAAACAAACTCACTACCAGATTTAAATTTAGAAGAGAAGAAATTATAATCCTTAGAATATATGTAAAGTTACTCAAGTATCCTGTAATCAAGGTCCAATACATCCTGTAAAGAGAAGCAAGGAAGCAGTAAGAAATTCATGTGGCTAAACCAGAGTTTAGTGCTGGGCTGTGCAGATTAAAATCCTGCTCCTGAAAAATTGTCTCCCAAAAATAGGGCAAGCCTTAGTGACAAGGATATTAGAGATCAACTGTGCAACAATGCTGTCACCAACCATGAGCCAGCAAAACCTTCCATGTCAGTCTGGCAGGAACAACCTTAGAAAGGCCTTGAATTCATTGAAAGCCGTAACAGAAAATCTGATTCTCATTAATAAATTCCTTTTCTTCTGAACATTTCCCATAAATAATTATGTGTAGAAATATTCCTGTATAACGACAAGTGTTAGTCACAACATTTTGGACACCTCTACAATATCTGGAACGTGACATAATTGACTGACATATGACAGTTTTTTTAACTATAAACTGAAAAATGGAATTCTGAAACTTCATGGACTGACTCCTTTCTCTACAAAAAGACTCAGGAGAAAAAAAAAATCCCAAATGGGTATTTCTACCTTGCATTTGAAAACATCAGTGTGATCTGGAGAGGAAAAAGATGATTTAGTGTTTTGGGGAGGGGGCAGAGGAGTAAGCAGATCACACAGGGCAGTGTCAAGTAGGGCTCAGGGAGCTGCTTAAGGCAGTGCCTGGGGGATGAATTACGAATTGGGGAGCATCCAAACACACCTTCCTCTCAGGAAAACCGATCGCAGCCCCAAGGGATGGAGAGGGCATTGACAGTAACGTGCAGAGTTCAGGGCAGTTCGGGTTGCTCAGGCGGCCCAGTGCCGAGCTCTGGTGAAGTGTATCACCAGCAAAACGCCCTCCAAGAGACACAAAACCAGGAATTGTTTAAACCATGGACTGCTGCCACAGGACTCAGTCATGCAGAGCTAATAGATCAGCTGCTGCTGCCTTGCTTACCCAAACACTCAGCTGAGGTTACAGTTTCTCACTATTTTCTTATTTTAGAGATAGTTATCTCATCATAGGAGCCCTGGATTGTCATGCAACATTTACAACAGTCAAAATGACATGAAATGGTTCCAGCTACATCTGGGATAATCAGATACCTCTTTCCAAATCAAAGCATCATTGTTTTCTTTAACACGTCCTACATCCAGGCAACCCACAACTTCCTTAAGCTCTGTCTCCCAGGAGCAGTTTATTGTAAATGATTTATTGGAATCCTGAATTATTGGCAGCCTCCTCTGACCATAATTTCTTCTCTTAAAGAGGGTCTGTCAGTAAGCGGTCTGATTTCTCTTTGCTAAAATCTATATTAACAATGCAAATTGTTTGAAGTTGGTTTGGTATGGGGGGTTTTTTTGTTATATATTCTTTCTACAAAATAAAGTATCTCTAAGGGATATTTTAAAAACAAAACAAAAAAAAAGGAAGAGATTTAAAGAACAGTAACAGCAAAAATTATTCAGGATGTTGATTTGGCAGTTTCTACTGATCTGTGTTTGTAGCCTTCTTTGAGACACATCAGTGAGAGTGAAGTTGCAAATGGCTTTTTGAGTGAGAAGTGTGAGGGCCAAGAAAATATGAAAGTCAGAAGTACCTGGCCAGAGGTTTTTCTCTCACAGCACAACACATCCACAGCATGCCATTTCCAGGATTAGAGTAACCTGGAGATGCAGTTATTACTGAGCTGCTGGTGCCAATCTTAATGTGAAAACTGAAAGCAGCACTTTGATTGTAGCCTTGGGATTTATCCCCATATGAGAGATCCTCTGAAATGGATTCTCAGCGAAGTCATTAAACAACCACCACTGAAGGCAGATTATCAGGCCAACACGGTTTTAGTACAAGGCTGCTTCTCATTTAATAGTCAGTAAAAACAAAACAAAAAAAACCCACACTTTCCCTATGCAGTGGGGAATTTTTGCAGTATAAACTGACAGTAAGACTCCTCCTTTCCTACCAGCCTCCATGAGGCACCAAAATGCAATTCATCAACAGAACCTGGGAGAGGTCTTGGAGGGGAAGGACAAGAATAACTTGGTTTTCCTGGACCTTTTGTACTGGCTGTCCAAATAACCATGACATACTCCCTTTGCTTTCAGAAAGGAAGACTGGTTGCCTTCAGTGAGCAGACCCCGACCTTTCTGACCTGTTGAATTACCCCTTCAGATAATGCTGCTTTTTTCAGAGAACCACAAAATGGTTTGGGTTGGAAGGGGCCCTAAAGATCATCTTGTTCCAACCCCCTGCCATGGGCAGAGCCACCTATTCCCTCCCAGATTGTGCTGGTAAACATAATGAGAACAGAAAAGTTGCAGGCATTATTATGCTCTGCAATCAGAGCTTTCTGACTTAGACAATTTCTTTATTCTCATGAATGTGTTTTTCTCAAAAACAAACTCCTCCTTTTTCTTTGTTCATGACCATTTGTCAAGTGTCTCTCTCAACGCAGAAGCCACCGGGCAAGAATCCTACCTGTGCAAAAGCTTCTGATAAAATTCTAATTCTTGAGATCACAAATCAGGCAGTGGGGCTGAAAAATTGCAGTATAGAAGAGAGGTCAGGCACAGCTTTGTATACCCTGAAAATAAGTGGGAAACCAGCACTAAGAGGGCAGACAGTGCGGATCCCTCACAATTACAAACAGACACACACATATATTTCCTAGTTGTCAGTTTTCCCACCTGCTTCTTTCAAGATGAGAAATATATCTCCTCATCAGCCTCCAGTTAAGCCACTGGGAGAAGAGTCAGTGCCTGAGACACTTCTGAACTTTATCTAACATCATTTTTTCCTGATACACTACCATAGGTCTCATGCTTGATTTCCAAGCCCCATTGTGCTTCATCCCCCCGGGCAGTGCAGTCTTACTCATCATAAATACAGATTTCTCTTTGAACTATAAAAGCAAAAGAGGGTTTCCACATTTTTAGGTGATATATCTTTGTTAACCAAACCTAATAAACCCCTCAGTTATTTACCTAACAGCTATTTCAACACGTGGCAAAGACCTGGCAGATTAACTCTTGAATTAAAGTGGGTTTTTTTCAACCTGTACACCTGAAATTTAAACTATGAGCACAAACACTTTTAAGCAGTCACACACTTGGTGCAGTGTTACGTGCATGACATTAGAAAGAGGATGCAAGTTCTACCTTTATTTTACTGTATGGCTACAGTGAACAAGGACTGGGAGAAAAAGTCAGTAGAAAAGTAGAAAACAAACTATTAGAAGATTAAATTTATTCCTCTTAATCTAAAGAACACTATCAGATATGTCTTATATATCCAAAGATCAAAGACTTGGAACTCGAGAGGAGATCTAACTAACAAAAACGGGTATGGAATGATGAAATAATTTATATATCTCAGATACATTTAATCTTGTAAAACAGAGTGGAAAAACTGAAGGGATTGGGACTAATAAGAGAGAAAAAGCGAAAATATATATGTGTTGTAACCATCAGTCTGACTAATGATAGAAAAAGATTCTTTTTTTTTTTATATAGTGCCTCTGAAAGCAACTGGGGTGTGTTTACCACAATCTCTCAATAAACTGATATTGCTAAACTTGTCTTAACTCCAAAGCAATAAATTTTCATTAACTTATGTTCCTACATAAAACAAAGCAGTTACTTATTTTTATAAAAATTATGTGGTGAATCCACAGTAACTCCATATCACATCTTCACTGTCACTGTATGTACAGAATGTTTCTTTAAGAGCTAACAAAAAATTTAAGCCATATCAGGAATTTCTTAGGATGGGTTATTGTCCAGCTACATTTCCAACCCTGTCTAGTCATCAGCACCTGACAGGGTAGTTTGGTTTACACTTTAAGTTTTAAAAAATATTTATTGTAATTTGATTTTGTCATAACAGGATTTGTGTCTGGCGTGGATTTGGTGATGGTTTCGCTACTCCAAGATCAATCCAATATTAAATTTTCATCTTCGGACACTCTGGAAAGAGATCAACAAGACTTCATGAAGACACAGGGGGATTCAATATCCCCAGTTCAGCAAAGTGTGAGTAAGCTGGCCCAGGCCTGTTCTCTTTCTTCAAAGTTCAAATACAGTATTAAGCTATTGCTGTACTAAATCTCACCAAACTTCCCGGTAACAAAGCAAACATTGAAAGTTTTATTCTTGAAGAGTGAAAACCTGAGTTATCCTCCTTAGCTTATCTTAAGCTCCGTGCTAAATTTCTTATTCAATTGCTTAAAACCCCTATTTCTTTAGAAACAAAACAGAGAATGTATCCATCCAACTTCTAATCCTGGAAAAATGCTACGTTTAAAGCTAATTCTCATTCTGTTTCTAAAATAAACAAATAAAAGGCAGACAAAGAGACATCAGAGCCTTTTTGTCTCCTCCCTGCCTGTAAAGGATGACTTCAAGGACTTCACAATTCCTTGGGATTTTTTTGGAATAACATGATCTCTCTCCTGTTGCCTGTATATTCATCATGTCTCATAACAAAAGTACAGCTAAGAGTACTGTTTTTCATCAGACAACAGCAAAATAACCATTGTCATCCATTTATTATGAAAATTCCAAGTGGAGAATTGGCAGCCCTGTCATTCATACAGCTTAATGGAACTAAATATAAGGAGGAATTTTTTAATTCTAATCTAAGAAAAGATATCATAAACACGTGGATTAGGACTGTAGAGGAGGGTAAGGAAGGAAGAATTAAGAAGTCATAAACTAAATGTGAGAAGCTAAAAGTGCCATGAGGCCAGATTTGCTTTCTGCAGGGATCCATGACAGAACAAAACATTAATGGCTTTAACACACACGCAAATGACTGGAAAAGCTGTGCCATGTTCCACTGCAGAAAGCACTGAATTTATACTGACTTCCCTGTGGGACTTCTCAAAAGCTGGTTCTTCCATAAAGGCATACATTCCTTAAGCTGTTCTAAAGCACTGTAAAACCAACTCAGATTTGGAGGGGGGAAGGAGCAGCAAAGGGAGCACTCAATAATCTGGTCTGAGTTTTTGTGTAACACGGAACATTCCATTTCCCCCTTCCCTGAACACAACAACCTGCTCTTGACTGACGCACGTCTTCTCAAAGGCATCCAAGTAGTTACTCATCCTTGGTGTCAGGGCAAATATGCATATTTTCAGTGTCAGGATCCAGACACCAGTTCTCGTTAAGCCTTTCTCCTTTAGATTAAAGAGCACTTCAGTAGCTGTTATTTTCTTTTTGCTAAAGTGCAAAAGGGAGGGGAGGAGATGAGACAGGCAGAAGGTTAAAACGTCTGCCCAGAGCCTACTTGTCTCTTAGAATGAGTGTGGCCACCTTAATGAAGGGAAATGATGTAACCATCAACATATCTGGCAGCATGTAACACCACCAGAGTATGAGATCAAGCTTATTTGACTAAACTTGCATACAACAAGACTTGCACTTATCACATTCCTGTCATTTAATCTTTCATCACTTGACCATACATCATTTTTCTCCGGAATTGTCAGACCAGCTAGTCAATGGTTACCTAAGACACCCTGTTTTTCAAGGATAGTTCAGTTTTCTCATAGAACCACAGAACGGTTTGGGTTGGAAAAGACCTTAATGATTATCCAACCCCCTGCCATGGGCTGGGATGCCACCCACTAGACCAGGCTGATCAAAGCCCAATCCAACCTGGCTTTACTTTTCTTAATTAATTGTTGAACAGTTTTGGATACTGAGGAATCAGAAAACCCTTTAGATCTTTCAGGGCTTCTCTGCATGAAGGTGACTAGAACCAATAATATTATACTTATCAGCAATGTATTCTTAATATAATTAAAATATTTACATTTTATATAAATATATAAAGTAAATGATGAAAATAATAAAAATTTGTTCACATTAATCCTAAATAAATAAATGCCAACATTTCATTGCAGGATAATCTCAGTTACAGCTGCCAACCATATGAGTCAGACGTCAGGACAGAAAGGAAGAGCTCAGAGTCTTCTCACAGCCCCAGCCCTGCTTCCCCAGCCCAGGATCAGATTCATGGGAGATACCCTACGAACCAGGGAATTCACTGCGGCAAGAACAAATTCAAAGCATCTTTCAGTGCTGAAAAATTCAGGAGGTACAGTTACGAGGAAAACACTGTAGGAAACTACGACCGGTTCCTCAAGAGCAGCAGGAACCCCTTCCACCCTTACAAGAGGCAGATCAGTGAAGATGTTTTCCAGGAAGCACACCAAGCCCTCCCACCAGAAGCTTCACCCTTCAAAAATCATAGAAGCATCGACGGTTTTGAGGGTCTATCAGGATCTACAGGTCCTGACGAGTCAGAGTCATTTCCCACGCACATCCCGGACATCTCCACGGAGCAACCATGGTGTAACAGCCTCCAGTACAGCACCACGGGTCAGGATCACAGCTCACAAGTCATGGTCAGTATTTTTTTATAGCTCTTTTTCCTGTTTTCAACGGCAAAAATATACTTTTCAAATTATTGTCTTATCTCAACATTACTACATGGACGTTTAGTCTCCTGTCAAGTTGTAGGCTAGAGCTCAGGAAAAACATCTTTAGACATATCCATATTCATTTTCCCAAGTCTCTAATTTAAGGCCTTTCCCTACTGGAAAACAATCCTCAGAAAGATGCACAAGGTCAAATGTTTTCCATTAGACATGATACATGAATCCTAAATATCCAAGTTCTTCCTGACAACAGTAGTTGTCATCAGCTAGTATTTTCAAGACATAAAAGTTCACAAAACAGTGTTTCTCAAGCATGAGGACATATATCAGATTTGTTACAACCCCTCAGCAGACCTACACTTTTCTTGATGCAGATAGAGGAGAAATTCTGAGATACCAGTACTATCAAAATTTAAATATCAGACCTATTTATAGTATATGAAGTGCTAAGTTACCTAATTCCAATACTAGATAGAGGCAAGAGTCTATTTAGGGCAGCAGAGATCCCTGAAAAGCAAATTAAATTACCCTCCAGTATCTCCACAATATCTCTGCTGTGATCCGAGGTGTAAAGTGTATCTTCATCATCTAATGCAGCCAAAAACGATGACTCCACCTGCCAGGAGAGGGCCCTAAACTGGTTCTAAATGGCTGTGAGACGAAGAATTTCAGGGCTCCCGAAAGAAAAAAGGATTAAAGAAAAAAATTCTTAATTGGATTAAGACCAGGGAATGGAGAGATGTTGTCAGGGAACATACCTGGGGATTGAAGCTATTCAGGTTAAGGAGGAAATTGATCTAAATCTCTTATTTCCTGGATAAACACTCATCTAGGTCAGAGCAGTTTAATGCAAAACCTGTGAGCAGTTGATGAAAAAAAAATTCCCATTGTCTTCTCAAATCCCTGGGCTGCAAGATGTGCAAAATGTAGAGGCAGCACTGCAGGAGCCCTTTACAAGTACGTGTAACTACTCAGGAGCAGAGTGGCTGCTTGTCAGTGTCTCCCATGGTTCTGTCAGCAAGAGATATCAAACTCCTAAATCACTTCCATACTTCTGGCAAGTTGGGATATCTGTAAATCTTATCTGATGGTCACCAAAATAACACAGACATTTATTAATACTGGATGTGGCACTTGCTTGGAGTCAGGATATCAAGTCAAGTCTAACATGTGCTCCTACTAATATACCATAAAAATAGTAAATACAAAAATATTTAGTAGGCATACTAAAAAAATTTATATACTTATCAATATATATTAGACATACTAAAATACAATAGAAGCTGATCATTATGGCCTTGCTTTAAAGCACAAGGATAAGTGCTACTAGGTTCTTGAAATAATAAGATTCTTACTCTATTCCTACACATTCCCTGCATTTTAATCTATAAACAGAGACTGGCGTTTTCTGAATTGCTCTTTGAATTGAACATGACCTGGGATTTCCTTTTTTAAAGTTGTAATTATAGAAATGCAGGAATTGGTTAAGGTCTTCATAAAGTCACAGAAATGTTTTGGTTGGAAGGGACCTTAAAGATCATCTTGTTCCAACCCCCAGCCCTGGGCAGGGACAACTTCCACTAGACCAGGTTGCTCCAAACCCCATCCAACCTGGTCTTGAACACTTTCAAGGGGAGGTCACCCCTCGTTTTGTACCATTGGAATATAAAACAACTTCTATTTAACACTTACTGTGACAGAATTAAGTCCAAAAATGTAAATATAATGAAGGCAAACCCGAACAGTGACTAACAGAATTATTCTATTTTAAATTAAGGTGTTTTCCCTAATAACTCATTCCTTAAATATTTTCCAGCAGGATTCAGACATGAAGCTTAGGACATCCCCACTGGAAGGGCAGCCTGGTTTGTACTGCTACCAGCCTCAAGTGCAGCAGATGTATTGCCCCTCACACCCTTTCCATCAGGTCAGTGTAATATGTGCACCAAAATCCCTATATTTCTAGCACTCTAATGGTACAATAGTTTTGGTACTAACATAAAAAAATATTAAACAATACCTTTAAATTTGTGGGGTTTCAGGGCCATGTTTATATATATACATTTATGAGAATAAGATCTCAAAAGAACCACAGCTAAGTGCATTTTAAAATGGTCATTCAGAAAAAGAAAAAAAAGAATGTATAAACAATCTTGGTACTCCATATTTATATTTTCACCATTATGCTCGAGAAAACATGTTTTGAAGCCTGATAAATTATTCACGTAACCGTTGGCATTTCAGGATCCCAGGGAATTAACTGTGCTTTAACTTCAGAATAAAAAACTAAATATATGTGACTGTATATTTAAAATTCAGATCAAACATAGGAAAACACTTTAAAGTAAAATTTGAACAGCAAAATGATGTTCACTCCCCTTGTGCTGGATGGCACACACACCTCTTTCACAATCTTTTGCCTCTTACATCATCCTCAGTGAAAGATTATTCAGCTGAAGCATAATTGACAGTAATGCTGATGATGCAGGAGAGTGTGCAATATCAAGGTTGTTCTTCAGTATGTAACTATATTATTAACACTAAAAATAATTTCTTTTAGATATAAACGGTGGTGCTGTTCAATGCTTTGAATTTTTCCTCTTTTATGTTCAACTACCTGCAACTTATAAAATTTTCAGTAATTTTTTCAGTAGTGTTTATTTCAAGATAAAAATATGCTTGAAACACCCTATTTAAAACAAGCAAAAAAAAAAAAAAAAAGAAAGCCCAAAACTTGAGGTGAAATTAAGGTAACAAGGATTTTTCAGTCTTATAGGTAGAAATCCGTATACAAAAACAGCACAAATCTGAAATGCTAAACCATTAGAACTTACAGGAAGGTCATATATATAAACTATTTTAGAATAAAAGCTCACACTTGAGCTACATCTCCTTTGATCCCAGTGACTGATGACAGATATTGTGGCATCAGCTCCACCATCTCATTCAATTTGCTCAAGAAGTATAAAAAATATGACTGACAGAGCAGTGATTTAAACTGGGCAAAGAAAACAAAACCCAGGTTACTGTGATATTTCATTAGGGTTGTTAATTTGTATGGTGTTACATGTCTGAGTCATTGAAACAGTCATTACTCCTGGCTTTTTTCTTTTACCTACCACACTGACATTCCTCTAGCCAGAATTTACTGAACCTTATTTTTCCCAATCAAGTGGCAAAAAGGCAACTATCTTTAAATTCTTATCGACACCACCATAATTAATTTACTTGTGTTTTTTTCTTGTTAGCCCAAAACTCAACAGAAGTGATAAAAGGTAAAAATAAAATTATATTAGAACAAAAGGAAAGGTGATATTACCCTACCATCCTAACTTAGAAATCCAGTTATTTGATTACTGTTATTTTAGAAGAAAGTTGTCCCAGATGAAGGATTAACTTGCCAAAAGCCCTGCTGCAAATATAAACTATTCCCCCCTGGGATTGCAGGACAGACATTGTGGATATGCCACAGCACCCTACATCTCACTCACCATGTAAATGCCATTTCTGTGTGCTGCTTTAGCAGAAACTCCACTTAGCTTGTTAATTCATTGAATATTTTTGATTTCTTTACTCATTCCGAAGCAGGCACCCTTCCCCTGTCCCCTCTGATGTGATACCAGTGCTATTACTATACATTGGCACTAACCACATTCAAAAAACCTCCAAAATTAAAGCTGAAATACACCTCCTGGGAACCGCCAGGCAAGATACGACAGGCACTAAGAGGAAAGTCTTCCATCCACCTGCAAGCTGGCACCGTGACAGATCTCTTACGTGCTGCAGGTTTCTGTTGGACTTTCCAATACTTGTGCTTCTGAATGTTACTATAGTAAAAGTCTGGCAATGTGTTCTGCTACTCAGAGGGAAAAAAAAAAAAAAACAATAAGTATAAGCAGCCAAAGTCCCAACAGGTAGAATTGCTGTCCCCGTGCTGCAATCAGATACTGGAAAATGGAAGGACGTGGGATACACAAGACTGAGGAGTGGAATAACATCTTCTGCATGAAGCAGCTCCGTGATTAGTGCTTTACATTTCAAATTGGAATGGAGCAGTGCAAGTTAAATCACTATGGAAGTTACACTCCAGAGAACGGGCCCTTTAGCCTGAAGTGAAGGATGTTCAAACTACGCCTCAGTTTTCATTAGAGGGATGAGAGAGATCAACCCCTTCATTAATTTTGTCCAAATGATAAAACGGCCTCACCTTCCCCTTTGCTGGACACCACACAAGTGGTGAATCATGAGAGGAATTACTTGTTATTGACCCGAATGAAGTAGCAGACACTGACTGGAGTCACTCACCCACCCACCATAAAACACGGACACCTTTCATGCCAGTTGTGCGACTGTAAAACCAGCTCGAGCCTGTCATTCCAGACCATTCCCCAGCCTCTGCTCCCTCAAAAAGGACTAATGAAACCAATAAAACAGAAATAATCCCTAAAACACCCCGGTCTTGCCTTTCATGATGACATCAAAACCAGTCCCATCTTAGTACTCTTTCCTTTCAAAGAGCCACCAAAACCAATAAAATCAGAATTATTGCAGGAATTGCCCAGTTTTCTGCTCTGGTGAAAAATCTACACCCAACGCACAAAGCAGGAAGCACAGAATTGCACATGGAAATTAGTTCACAGATGCTCTGGAGACTCTATTTTTGCCTAATATTTAGTTCAAAAATATTAATTAATTATGTTCATTTAATTTATTTCACTGTGCAAACAACTGAGTATATTCAGTCTGGTTTTCCACATTCCATTTCAGGCAGTTCAGTGTTAGAAAGATAAAAGTAAACAGGCAATAAAACTCCAGCAATGAGAATAAAATTACAGAGAAACTTAAATAAATTATTAAAAATCCAGAATAAATAAATAAACTATGAATATTTTGCAAGCACATGACAACCTCTCAAGCGTGTTTTAAGGGGACAAAGACCAAGAGCAAATGAAGCTTTTTTTTTGATCCAAAAAAAGGGATTACAATAAGAAACTAAGGAGGTGTATAAATTAATTAACAAGGGATTTTTCCCAACAAGTCTCAAGAGCTACATTATAATTTTTCAGAGGAACCACACAAACCTCATGACACAGAACTGCTGGAGCTGAGCAGTAAAACACCAGAAAAGGGCTCAGCAACCTTTGAGCACCAGGGAAGGCATGCAGGTAGATTTTTCAGTAGCATGTGACATGACTCCTAATTTTGGCCGTGCCCTCACCCTGGCATCTGGAAAGGTTCATCTGTAAGAGTCAGAAATTTCCCTCACAGGGAGCTCTGAGTTCAGTAGGAGCTTTTGCCTCCCAGAGAGCCAACTGATGCTATCTTACCTGAGCAGGGTAGTGTTCCTTTGTTCCTGAAAGCCTCTTGCCAGCATACTTAAGCTGTAATTTGGAAAAGAAAAATATGGAATATTTGGCAAAGAAAAAGACCAACTGGTGTGTTAAAAAATTGAGAGCAAGTCTACAGAAACTGTGGTGCAATCCAGGTTATCTACGTGGATTATTTCCACTCTCTCACCTACTTTTTGGCATTGGCATATATCTATCCCATCTCTTTAGTATGTCTTGGGAGCTTAGAGATCTCTTTAAGAGATAGGTGAGCATCTCAGTAGCTTCTGCTGCTGGTCCCCAGGAGGGGTGAGGGTGGCATAGATAATGCTTGACTTTAGGGGTCCTGGCTATTCTTTTTAGCTTTCTGATGCAGAAAATGAGGGGGGGGCAAAAGAGTCACTTGAGGTGGTGGTGAATAGCACACAAACTCCTGGCCTCTTGGTGATGCAGTAACTGTGAGGGTACAGACAGGGAGTAGCCCAACAGCTTCAGCATGAGACAGGCAATATGAAACCACCTCAAAAATGTCTCATATGCTGCTCTCCTGACCCCTGGAATGATCTTACTAACTTATTCCATAATAATACATTCATTGTATATACATTCTGATGCATCCACTAAAGTTTTTGTTGTTGTTTGCCAGGTTTATCCCTGCCTTGCATAACAACAGCAATTTTAACAGAGATTTTGGGATACTATTCCTTTGGGATTAGGTTATTATACACTTCAGATTTTTACCTTGCTGTATCCCTCTCCACCTAAAAAATAAAACAACAACAAAATAGCACACAAAACCAAACAAGGCTCAGTCAAAACTGCAGTGTTTCTTCCTATATTTTTAGCAGCTTTACTTGGTGGGCCCATTTTTCTATATTGCACATTGTTTGAAGTATTTTATTCTGGTGGTTTTGGGGTTTTTTATGTAAATAAGTTTACACCATTAATTTACTTGTCTGCATGTTCAGGGGAGGCTGAGCAGACTGAGATACTTCAACTTCAAAAGAGATGGTTGAAAGGAGACCTGCTTTAGGTCCATAAAATTAAGAGTTATCCGGAGACAATTAATAGAGTACAGTTCCTCACATTTTTCACAGGAACTCAATAGCATAACAGGCAATAAAGAAGAAAGTACTTTTTCTTTCCCACACAATATCCTCAGAAATACATAGTTTAATACTGTTATTAGGAAATATTTTTGGGAGCTTGTTGCTAAGCCAAATAACATCTCTCTTGTCCCATCAGTATCCCTCAGGAGGCAGCTACCCTGTGACTTACATTGCTTCTTCACACTACCCTTACCAAAGGATCGCTCCTCAGAGCAGTCAAGAATCCCAGCAGCCTCTGTTTCCCAAGCCCATCTACTCCTACAGGTAATACAATATTTCTTCAAGCCCTAATGTTACAGGAAATGCACTGTTTACCCATGGCCTGGTTCCAGCATCATTTGCAATAACATGCTTACTCTTATTTGTCTTGCTCCCGGTGTGTTCTGTCCTGTTCGTACGAATCAAGATGATCCAGGCTCTGGGGCCAAGGCACAGAGAAATTAAATGTTGCAAAGCATTGTCTTGATCACCCCCCCAAAAAAACCCTAAATGTTTCTTTAATACAAAATTTTACAAACGCCATCAGCACAAGACTGATCCCACTTAGTTGCCTTTCCCAGCACCTGTATTAAAACTATTTTTTTCCAGTTGCTAAGGCAAGGAAATGCCTAGAAAACATACCAGATATGTCAGTCACTACACAGTTTTGGACCCCAAATAATCTAACAAAGTAGATCAGACAATTAAATTTTAATTACCCATCTGTCACTGTCAGTTTGAGACTCTTTGTGGCCTTCACCAGTTTAAGCTTTCAGACACACCTTAGATAAATACCCACCAGCAGGATTTGAAGGTCTTGATTTCACTTTCTATATTACTTTATTTGAAACCCACGTTAGAACTTCTATATGAGCTTTGAGAATTACCTGTAGGAGTTAGACATGGGAGAATTACCTGTAGGAGATTGTTATAAACAACTGAGTGGAAAGTTTAAGCATCACTGTACTTGTGCTATGGCAGTGAGAGTCACAGTAATGACACACAATTTGGAAAATAGTCTACTTTTGGTTCTGAGGAGTCAAGCAGAAGAGGCTAAAATGCTTTTCTTTCTCTCCCTAAAGCATCCTGATCTTCATGGCTCTCAAAAACAGCAAGACAGGGAGTTTGCCAGTCAGTGAGATTTACAATTTCATGACGGAACACTTTCCTTACTTTAAGGTGAGTTCCACTGGGAGGGAGGGGGAAATCTCCCTCTAAGCTTACCTGTCAACAGAGGGATGGGATTCCAGCTATGAAAAGGGATAATTTCTTTGGAGATTAATATCAAATCAATTACACACTATATACATTCATGATCACAAACTACCCAGCATTTTACATGCAGGAAGAAATGTGGTAATATTTAACTCAAAAAGATATTAAGAACTGTTCCAGCTGTGAGTCTGGGTGTATAACAGTGGCCATTCCTCACTAACAACTCATAAAAAGGGTGAATAATTTTCAAAACACATTCACTCCTTCCTCTCAGATCTCAAATACAGGCAGAACTGGTCTTGTAGCTTCCTCTGCCATCAGCAGCACCTCCAGATTGGTGTGGAAGCAGAGGTTCCAGGTTATCTCACTGCATTCTGGAGCTGGGATATCCGTCTTGGGCAACAGCATCACTTGCATGCCCTGGACCAAGAAAAGTCTAATATATGATAAATGGTACTAAGCTCATAATTACACCATGACAGGAAGGGTGTATGGTTTGCAGCAGCACTATTGAAATTTAAATCCATGCTATAAGGGAATGGTTCCTTGGGCTTGGAATGCGAGTGGAAAGTGCTCAGTCAGCAAATGATCCAAGAGCAGGAGGATTAGTTGAGATTTTTAAAAGAGCTGTAATGGAATCATCACCTGCTGATCTACATGGAGCTCTATTTCTGCTGATTCTTCAAAACCGTCTCGCTGAAGTCCAGAGCAGGTGACCTCAGCTGTTAGCAAGGCCCAAAAACGAAAATAAAGCAAGTGAGTCTGTCCTGTTTCCTCTTGCAAATAGCCCTGCAGCAATTTAACCAAATTTGAAACAGCTAAAGCAAGGCAATTCAAACACTTATAATAAGAACACTGCGAATAGCTGAAAGTAAATGTTCTGATACAATTTTGCAATGGTTTTGGACACTAACTGAGGATAAATTATGCACATGAAAAAAAATACTAAGGTTGAATCTGTCAGTAATCAGAGAAAAATACACGTTATGATGGAGGAAGAACTGTCAGGATCCATCATACTTCTGTATTCCCAAATTTCCTCAGAAAAGAATCACTAACTAGTCCATCATTTGTTACAAGCAAAAGAAGGGAGAAAATATAAAGACGCCTAGCATCGGAAATCAGAAGTACTCAATCCCAATGGAATCCACAGAAAAACAGCAAGAGTTTCAAGCAGAGAGATGGGAATATTATTAATAATTTTTACAGGCATCTTCATGTTTATTCATCAGACCAAACTGAAATTAATTCTCCGTTGTCTTACAACATAATTGATTATAAAAATTAATCAGCAGCTTCAAGCAAAATGCTGCTGCTGCCAACATGGACAGAATCCCTCAGACTCAGGACTGTGGCTCTGCCAGGTGTCACCATCCTGGTCCTTTGTGGTTTTTCAGAGCTTCCTGTCTTTTTCTTAATTCATTTTAAAGTAGATGAGAATGAGGTTGCTGTTGTCATATGGATCACAGGGAAAGAATAGTGCAGGGGTACTACTTGGTACAGGGGGTACAAAGGGAACATTCACTATTTTGTGACAGCTTTATTTTTGCATTTTACTTACAAATACTGTCAAAAGTATTTGACTGTAACATCCTTAAAATGACCTAGGGAGAATAAGAAATCAAATATTACACTTACAGGCATTAAGCCCTGTCTACCTCTGGCCTTTACAGCAGCCCACAGAATTACCAATATATGGCAAAAACTAATACCCTCTATCATCCTTTTTTTTTTTGAAGAGTCTTCAGCAAGATAAAATAATATAAAGACCAGCAAAGAACATTTTGTTGTTGCTACCAGCACTCAGTAACTAGCAGAATACAACAGGGAGAGGGGAAGCAATTTAAGTTGGAGAGAAAGAGAGTGCAAATGTACACAGAATCTTGCTGGGAGACATTAGATGATACAAGCCGAGTCAAATTAACTTGTATTCGCTGCCACAGCAAATTTAGTTTCTATGATGCAACAATTTCATTTCTAGTTGAAACAGAGCAATCCAACTCCTACGTCCTAAAAAAAACATCTACACAGCTAAAGTTGAATTACCCTTTGATGTACCTCTCCCTTCTCTTGAGACCTAGATTTAAAGAGAAAGGGTTTTGCAAGATCACTGAACTCTTTAAACTTCAAGAGCTGGTCAGGATCCGTGGGGCTGGACAAAAATATTTTTTGTCATCTTTTTCTTTGTAGTGATTAGTGGCTCTAACAGAAAGCTTTAATCTTGTTAATTGGAGTTAGTGCCAGTGGTCCAAGAGGCCAGAAAGGTCTGTGGTCTGATGGAACCTAAAGCAGCAAGTATTCAAGTGTTGTAGATGCAGCACTTGGGAACCTGGGTTAGTGGTAGCCTTGGCAGTGTTGGGTTAATGGTTGGACTCAATGATCTCAGGGGGCTTTTCTAACCTTAATGATTCTGTGATCCTACAATTTTATGATTCTACAGCTTCATCCACACTGTGCTGAAACGCAGCAACATCAAAACCAAGCCACAGCAAGGAGATTCCAACTACACAAGGGCAACTTCAGTAACCAAAGCTCCCTCATGAACAATCACAGTCACTTAAAAAAAAACGGTGTCAGAGTCATAGCACAAACACAAACACACTGAGTGTCCCTTCAAGCCTTGCCTGGATAAACTTTTCACAGCTCAGCAATGCCAAGTTTAATGCAAGAACCTGTTGGGCTCCTGGGAGCAGCCTCCAAAATCAATCCATGTACTTTTTGCTCTTACATTTCTAAAACCATCTCACAGTTTACACCCCCACATGTTCTGAAAACCTCTGAGAAACCCGTGCCGCTCCCACCTTAGCAGAAACACCAATTATCCTGTCTAGATACAGACAGAGGTGTGTGTAGCCTCGTGTGCAGGGCAAGAAACATGAATATTCTTTCAGGTCAGCTCATTCAGTAGCTAAACACCCAACTTACCTGGGAGGAACAGTTCTATTCACTTTTGGAATTGCCAGAAAGCAACTTGAATATGACCTGCAAGGGAGAAAAACTGATTCATCATGTTTAGTATGACCCTATGGCAGAAAGGGTTTTAAAGGGTTTGAGTTTGTTTTCTTTTTTTTTTTTTAATACAATTTATGCTGTCTCACCTGTGAGACAGAATAGTGAAATGCTGACATCAGGTGGGCCAAAAGGGTAGAAACTGTGCTGCTACAAAAGGAGAATAGTTTCTCTTTTAGTAAATGACACATATTTGATTCCACACCTTTTTCTTTAATGAAGAAATCAATATTAAATTTGACCCTTAGCCCTTCAGTAAGGTTTTTAATGCCTTAACTCACATGATAGTTCTTTACAAGCTACAAAAGAACAGACTTTACATTCCTGATAAAAGTAGGTAAGAAAATAAAATTCTGATAAAAGAATTTCTATCAAAGTATGTTCAAAAGTTCACAGTGTGTCATGTGAAAGCAAAAATGGACACAACTCCATTTATAAAAGATAGTCTTAGAGGAAGTTTCTCATACTAGGCAACAATTAAAGAAACTATCAAACTGTCCAAAGTCCGACTTTCTATGCAAGATGGATCCCTACTAATAAAGTATAAGAATGCAAAGAAAATGTAGTACATGTAAAAGGGGAATTTTAATTTTTAACATTTTAAAAAATACTATGGAAACTCATATTTATTTCCTGTGCTCTCTGTTCAATAATTCTCTGGTTGATATAAACAGTTATGATGACAAATATTTTGCATCCATGGATATGAATCAATAGACAAAGACAACTTCACCCACCTTTCAGAGAGTTGTTTAATTTCTTTCGATTCTTACGACACAGAGATGAGAATTTTTTTTTTGAAACAAGAAAATAATAATTTTAATAATTCAGTTTAAAGAACCTTCCAGCTGCCACTGCTGAGTTAAAAATAAATGCAAAGCACAGAGATGCAGTGATCAGATGTGAAAACCTGTATCTCATCTGTAGGGCTTGTGATTAAACCATTTGGTTATGTAATTGGCCAGCACACAAAGTTACACCTACAGGAGCATGATAAATTCTTTTGAAGTCTGCCTGGACACTGAATTCGAGTCCAGGTAGCACGTAGTGCTTTAATTAAGTGTTTGAAATATTTCTCGGTGTTCCAAAAGAGATTCCGATAGAAATCCTGTTAGCTCACAGCTCTAGAATATAATTCTTTAGACACTTAATTCCTGTGATTTTCAAATTCACTCTTAAAAATCCAGCAGGCCTCTGAGAACCTTTTTGCTCAGAAGATCAGTTACTGTTCTATCTGATCCCTCTCTTCCCACACAACATGACTGTAACATTTTTGTGGCTTCCTTCTAACGTACAAGTTTCTCATGGCAGAAGGTACAAACTAAACAGCATTTCTTACAACCTTACCAGTCAAAACAGAGACGTACATATTTATTTTCTTTATTTGCCCTTGAAGTCCCATTCTTACACTGGATTTGTTTCTCCAGACAGCTCCAGATGGCTGGAAGAATTCTGTGCGCCACAACTTATCTTTGAACAAGTGCTTTGAGAAAGTTGAAAACAAGTCAGGCAATTCCTCTCGGAAAGGCTGTTTGTGGGCTCTGAACCCAGCCAAGATTGATAAGATGCAGGAGGAGCTACAGAAATGGAAGAGGAAAGATCCAGTTGCTGTAAGGAAGAGTATGGCAAAGCCAGGTCAGTAATGTGTCAGTTCTCAAACACTTCTGCTGAGAACTTTTCTTTGTAACAGGCACCAAACTGTATAAGAGAATTAATTCATGACTTGGGAAAGCATTTAAGGATTTTTTTCCTAGTTATAAGGTCATTGGCAAAACAAGAAAACAAAAATTAAAAAGTAGAATTAAACAAGACCTGGTTTTGTAGATATTTCCAAATAAGCAAAGAAGTTTCACCAAGAAAATATTTTCTCTTGACATCTCAAGGCTGGATGGGGCTTGGAACAACTTGATCTAGTGGAAGGTGTCCCTGCCCGTGGCAGGAAGATGAAATGAGATATCTTTAAGGTCCCTTCCAATCCAAACCATTCTGTGATTCTATGACAAAAACAACACTGAAATAAGTACTATCAAATAAAATCTGAAATTAATTTATAAGTATCCAACCTTTAAATACAGAAATGGAATTTATTATACGCTTACATGGCAATGGTAATTTAGGAAAACATTTCAGCCTTTGGAGTTCTTACCATATATGTGAGCTAGTGCTTTTGTTTGCCATCCTGAATGACAGTAAAATTCCTGCTGCAAGCTACGAAGATCAAGGGTCTGTTAGGGATAAGTCAGTCATGGACTTTTTTCTTGTTTTCCAGAAGAACTTGACACCCTGATAGGCGACAAGAATGAGAAGCTGAGATCTTCCCTCATGTCCTGCAGCCCGACGGGCGTTGCAGGTGCCTCACTTTCCAGGCAGATGGCAGCCCAATCCCATTCCTTATGCGAGCCCTCCCTCTCCTCCGGGATCCCACAGCCATTACACAGCATCCACGCCTCGGGAGCTCTGCATGCCAAGAACGCTTTACCCAACTTACTGGGGGGGCAGCAGCCTCCGTGCTACACATCCCCACAGGGCTTCCCCCAAATCCCAAATGCACTGATGCAGCAGACACCGGACGCTCAGAGCCTGTTTCCTTCTGGGGAGGCTCAAAGCGAGCTCCGAACTCAGCCCAGCATCACTCAGGACTCCCCGCTGCCGGCGCAGACCCCCCCAAACTGCGGGATGAAGATGCTGCCGGAGCATTCCACAGCCAGGACAGTGCAGGACACGCTCATGCCGGAGGGAGACCTCAGCAATGACATCGATGCTCTGAATCCATCCCTGACTGATTTTGATCTCCAAGGTTGGTATCTAAGGTATTTTTATCTCGTAGACTCAGGCTCATTACAGCCCATCCCATCACCTCCCATCACATCCCAACCCATCACCTACCAACCCTTTGTGACCTTCTTTTTTAACTACTTCTTCTTGCCGCTGCTACAAAAAACACCTTAACTAGGTAACATTATATACACAACATGCATTAAATCTTTAAAAAGTTTCCCAAGATAGCCACCTATTTACATCCAGAATTTAAAAAACATTCCTGCTTCCTCTTGGCTACAATTGCCAATATTAAGTATTGCAATACAGTATTTAGAATGTATTTTTTAAATTCAGATATGTATACCACTGGAAAGTACTCAAGCACAACTATTTAGTGCAATTCTTACAAGAGAATTGTCATGTGAAGGGAAAAAAGAGAAATAATGTTTATCAAATCAACAGGTTAACTTCTTCTTGTCAATATTTATTCAAACCCTTTCCACATCTCTGCTCCAACAAATGTTATTTCCCCCTTCCTGAGGCATCATATGACTTATGCCCTGAACAATTATACTTCCTGAGGTGTGTTCTCATATACTTAATCATGTAATGCTGACAGTAATTTTTTTATATATTAAATAATTGAATCATCTTGCCTGGATGGGATTTTGAACATTAAGAACACAGCTTTTCATGCAAAACCAAGGAAAAAACCCACCATGTATTTTTATATATATATATATATATATATACACATTATGTATGTGTGTGAATATATATGTAAATATATATGTAAATTTATAATAAATATATATACATTTATATATACACATATATATAAATCAAATCTTGTGGGTTCCAAATTATAAAGCTCCTGTTGCACCAAATAACACACCAGAATTTCCTTCTTGCCCAAACAAAAAGTGGTTACATAAATCAACCTAAAAGACAGAGCAAAAAAAATGCAGTTTTAATAATCTAGATGACTCAGCGAATGCCAGTGCCATTCATTCCGCTGTCACAAATATTTCCCAGTCCTGCCATGCCCAGATCGTTTTACTGAGATTGACACCACACTCCACTCATTTCCTGGGACCTCTTTCCATTTTATTCAATTAATCTGAAGCACATGCTCTGGTAGTGTGAATATTCTCTGTGCTTCATCAGTATGGTACCACTCCACCTTCCCTCTGGCCTAAGGTTAAATTATTTAACCTTATCTATGCTTTTTACTTTCTTTCTTTATAAAATGATCAAATCTCTAATTAGAGGCCCTAAAACTTAAGGTAAGGCCTGCACACTACTTCTAGCAAAAGGGCTAAGAATGACCCCATATCTTCCATATCTTATAGAGATGAGAGGCACTTTCCTTATCCAAAATTAATGTTTTTCTTTAAAAAATAGAAGTTATTCTTCATAAATATACATTTCTAACAGAATATTGCAAATTATCAGGTGAAATAATTTTCTTAAATGTATGCTGCTTTCTCCCAAATTTAAATTTATTATGGAGACAGACAAATAAAAACTACCTAAACAACCTTTTTTCTTCCTCAGTCCCAAGGGTTTAAGAGCATCTACACATAAAGCACACACAACTGTTTAATTACCAACTTCTCCTGCAACACAACATTTAAAAAACTGAATATATAGAAATGTATACAGATATCATATGAAGAAATATGAATCATTCCATTAATCAACGTGTTTTGTTTTGCTGTAGGGAATCTTTGGGAGGAGCTAAAAGACGACAGCCTTGCTGTGGATCCTCTTGTCCTCATTTCATCATCCCCAGTGTCTTCCCAGTGTTTCCCCTCTCACTGCCAGCTGGAGAACAGCAGCAACATCCCCATCCCAAACGGAACTCCACATGGAAACGTACCCGACCTCCAGCTCACTACCCTGTACTCTGCCTTCATGGAATTGGATACAGTGTCTCCTGCCTACCTAAGTAATCCTGGATCCAAACCTATAGCACTAATGTGAACCACGTGCCAACCTAATTATTATTATTATTATTATTTTGTTGAAATCCAGTCCTGACCATCACACACTTCCCTGATTGATGTCAGCTGAGACCGTGTCCATGGGAATAAGAATAATCTTTTTTCCAGAACTCTCCCGCAGGATATGTAGCTTTACTATAATAATTTTCTACAGACAGACACTAAAAAAAAAAATTTAAAATACTATTTAAAGATAATATTGTTAACAGCTGAACTTGTCAACACCATTTTATCAAGCCACTCATCTTCTGCATCTTCCAGAAACAAACGACTCTAAGAGGAAAACAACTCATTGACTTTTTTTTTCCTTTTCTTTTTTTCTTTAATGAAAGCTGCTTGCAAATGAACACAGAACTCACAGCACACAACAATCTAACTTATTTCTTGGAGCCAATGATGGCAACATCATCCACCACAGACCACTCAAAATAAAAAATCTACATGTTAAAACAGTTATAGTCCCCTTGAAAGCAGTTCTGGGTTTTGGTAAACAAGAATGTGAACTGAAAATTCTGTAAGTATTAGAAGATAGAGGACAAGCTGCTGACAGACTAAACCAAAGCAACAAATATACTTCAGTGAAAAATATGTAAGTTTTACTGTATTTAAAAAGAAATTTTAAATTCTGCTTTTTTTTAATAAAAAAGAAAAAACTATTTAGTAGAATTTTTACTTGGCTGGAAATTATTCCTATTCATTCTTCTGTCTTTTGCCTCATAAGCTGAACAGTAACATGAATTATTCAACCATTAAATGAAGATTTTTAAAAATGCTAATAAAAAAAGAGAGAACAATAATTGCTGCAGTTATCCAAATGCAGAGAGCATCTCTGGTTTAACTTCCAGCTGCATCCAACATATCCAATGTGATTTATTACAATACTGAACCAGCTGAACCAGCCCTTGCATTAGGATAATGTCTAGTTCCTACCATGAACTAAAGTAAGGCATTCCAGTAGCCAGTTTCTCAGGAACACTCTTCTCCCTCTGATTTTCCAAAGGTGCTGCTTGTAAAATAAAATAAACCCGTTTTATTTCAAATGATGCAATCTAAACCCAAAGCGATCTGGAGCAGGAACCTTCTGAAGAAAACAGTCTAGAAGCCAAAAAAATATCAGTGTCTTGAATGGCAGGTTTCCCAGAGAAGCCGTGGCTGCCCCATCCCTGGGGATGGGCTGGACAGGGCTTGCAGCAACCTGGCCTAGCGGAAGGTGTCCCTGCCTGTGGCAGGGGGTGGAACGAGATGATTTTTAAGGTCCCTTCCAACCCAACCCATTCTGTGATTCCATGATCTCTAATCACAGAGTATGTTAATTCAAACTGAAACAAGGAGGTCAAGATTTGGGTCAGATTGGGTCATTTTACACTCTGGAAAAGCAGGGGAGGAATTACCAAGGATAGAACAGAGAAGATGGAATTGCTAAAATATAGGCATGGGGGTTTAATTAGCCGCTGTCCCACAGCAAGGTGGGAGCACTGCCCGCTCAGACCGACGCCAAACCCAGGTCCAAATCTACACCCTCATCTGTGCCTACTAGCCCAGACTTAAAATCAGATTAGGGACAGACGGATAAAGACGACTTAGGAAGAGCACATGTGATGCAGCTTTGTAATCCCTCACGCAACTACCAAGAAATCCTCACTTGACTCAAGCTCCTCTTCCTTGGCCTCCTGCAAAGAGAACACACAGCTGAAGAAACGCAGTCAAGTTGGCCAAGCTGCTCCATGAATAAAAACAAAAACAGCAGGATGAGAGTTATGCAAACACACTAGAGTTGGGGAATCAGTTCTTGACCATTTAGGTAAAGAAATAAGGAAAACATGAAGTATCCCATGTCAAAATAAATGTGAATATTAAATGATAAACCTAAAGCACATAGTAAGTGTAAAGCTGCTAAACAGTATATATATGTATATCAAACACTATTTATATATAAATAGTGTTTTATATATAGTATTATATACACTATATATGTGTATTATATACCGTATATATAAAATACTATATAACAGTGAATATGTATATAACACTATATACAACATAGTGTATATATATAACACTATATATGTAACACAGTATATATATAATACTATATATACAACACATATATATATACACACACACTGTGTTATTTATATAGTATTATATATATATTCAGCGTAATTTAAGGGTTACCAACTTACAAATAAATACTTACCAAGTACAAACTGTAAGAGGGATAATATTATCCTAGGTACATGTTTTTTTAAAAAAAGCATCAAATAAATATCCATCCTAATACAGGATGCCCTGTGCTCAGGCAGTGGGTTTGTACCCCTGTGGCCCTGCAGCACACAGCTACTACGATGCCTTAAAATATGTCAACATCACCCTTAAGCCAAAAATAATAATAATAGTAATTGGTAAATAAGGTTCTCTACAAATATTTGACTGTTCATGGCAGATCTGGATTGCACTGAGGGGTTGGTTTTGTCAGCTCTGTGTGTTTTTTAAGTTCTGACTTCCTTAAACAGAAGGTCCCACTGGTGCACCAAGACCCCCCCAGAGCTGGGCAGGACCACCCAGACCCTCTCAGACTCCTCAAACTCAGTTACACAACTTCAGCCAACAGCCATGCTGATGCCAGAGGGAATTCTGAACTCCACAGCCTACACCTTCCAAGACTTTTCTGGATAAGACTGTTTCCATTTAGAAGCCTTTCACTGCAAACACCAAACAGCTGTGACACAGATCAACATTTTCAGAACCCTGAGGGCGCGAGATGCTCAGTTCTCAATGACTTTCAATCACTATTTGCATCAAATTCTTGTTAAACCCTTTTTAAACTCCTTATAAAAACCCCTCCTGAGTAGCACACAATGAACCACACCATGGCCAATGTATAGAACACTACAGGCCTTTGCAAGACATTCCCATCAGAAATAACAACATTCCCAATATTTGGCAGAGGGAGACAACAAGAAAACGCATGAGAACACACCAGACAAAGAGCATTGGGATAGTTCATTGCTCCAGAAACATGGCAAAATTGTAATAAAATATTTATGATTAAAGCAAATGCATGGCACGTGAAAAAAATCCATCAAAACTGACAGTATGAATCTGGACAACACATTATCAAGCTGAGCTAAATATCTGCTAAAAGAATTCCAGACTTGCAGATTTTAAAGCAAGAAAAGCTAAACTTCTTTTTCCATGTTAAAGATTTATAATTTATGGGCATAGCAACTCATCCATGATTTGTTAATTCCTGTGTGTCACTCGTATCCTCTATGGCCTGTGATTGACAGGCACGGCCATTCCCTCAGAGGCACCAATATATTCCACACTTGTGACCACACACATGATCACAAGCTGGAAGGGGAGGAAGAAATAGAGGAGAAATCTAAGTGTCAGATGGTATTTTATATTTTTCTTGCTAATAAGGCTTTGAAGAATGATCAGACATAGGGAAGAACATGTTTTTTCTTGTGTTTTGCTTGACTTTCTTGACATGCTGTATCCACACAAGAAAGGCTTGTCCTCCCTATATAAAATTATTTATCTAAGCACCCTGAAGTATTTTCTCCAATGCATTCCACATTTAATGGAATTAAATTAATGGTTGGACATTTCACAGAAGTTATAGGAAAAATTCTGTAATGACTTTTATTAAAAAAGAGTCATGTTTAAAACAAACAAACAAGACTGCAAGTTATTGAATAATATAAATTGTCTGCGTTTGGGTTTCCCTTTCTGCTCCACTTCAGGTTCCTACATCTGGAATTTTATTTTCTTGCTTCAGTTTAGCATTAGTAGTTTAGGTAGAGACAAAAAAACCCAAAACATTGAAATATGGGTCCATGAGGAGAGAGTTATACTATACATTACAATTCTGGAACGATTATTAAAAAAAAAAAAAAAAAAGGAGGAAGCTAACAAATACATTAATTGATCTACTTTTATTTTATATACAAGAATAACCCTCATCTTGTGCAATCCTTATTTTTTACTTTTGAAATAACTTTTGACAGACTGATAGCACATCTTCTGAGAGCTCCTAGAGCTGGTGACACCTTACTTTGTACCTACCATTAAATAAGTATTTTGCACACACTGCAAATCTATTTCAGACACATTTGCATTAAATTCCATTTTAAGTAGCACTCCAAAAAACAGGGGGAGAAAGGAAGGAAAGAATGAAGTTTTCCCAGTCCAAGGCTAATGGTCTTTGCTTAATCAGCCTCTTCTAAACACATTATGCAAACCTGTCTAGGAGAAAAAAATAACCTTAAGTCTAATTACCATAAAAATATCTTATTACCAAACAGAAGAAAGTGCTCACTGCTGCCCTCTCCAACATATGATTAGGAAAAATTTGCATTCTAAAGTTTAGGATTTATTAGTTTAACCTTTTTTTTATTACATATTTAATTTAAACTTCAAAAAATTCAAATAACAGTTTATACTGGAATAATGTTTTGAAGCTCTTTTCTCTTGTCACGAGCCCAAATTGACCATTACAAGACTTCTGGCTAAAGTAAAGATTTCTGCCTCTCCTGTTTTCCTGTTCTTGTTATAAAACCATCACCCCTGAACATTCATTTGCTTTTGTTGAGACAGTTCTCAGATCCGTTCATCTCTCTGCTCAATCTTTCACACCCCTGGCACTGCACTGAGCTACTTAAAACCAACAGTGATTAACAGGAATTATGGAACAGATAAACCACTAAACATCACATCAGTTTTACTTTGCATCTCTAACTTTGTACACAAAGCTTGAAAAGTGCAACTGACTTATTGGCACTTTCACATAAGTTTAAATTACTGTCTGGAGCAAATATTTGGATTCCAGAATTTAGTTTACCAGGACTGCTGCTCCATTTTTACACTTCAGACATCCAGATCTGTGTATAAATGTTTGTGTTTAGACTATTAAACATCGAAACCAAAAAACACTTCACATAAGCTTTTTTTGACCCACTAATCCATTTCTAGTCTAACACAAACAAACCCAAAACACGCAGTAGTGGAAGAAGAACTGTCTGTTTCACCACGCATTCCCTCCCTACGATGACGTAACAGGAAGCTTTAATGAAGCATTTCCCATGTGTGGTCACAGCAAAAATGTAATGTAGAACTACTAAAATAAGGAATGATGGAATTAGTTCATAGAACAAAATTTAAATGCAGTCTGTTTAGAAGCAGAAAAGTGCTATTTTATTTTTTTTTTTGGTTCAAAGAAACAAACAGGCACAAAGAATATTTGTTTGCATGGAAAATACTGAAATTACTGACAATTTTCAGCATGTGGGATTTATTTCCCCAGGGGCTCTCATTCAGCTAGTACACTGAAAATCTCATGTACCAGATATCAACATAACAAATGTTAACAGGACTATGAACTGCAAGATCCCATCAAGCAGCCACCAACATGACACCATCTCCCTCACAGTGGTGAGCAACTGATGACGGTGCCCTTCAGCATTTTAAAATGATGATTTTTTGTTATCACAGATTCACATAATGGTTTGGATTGGAAGGGACCTTAAAGACCATCTCATTCCAACACTTTCCACCAGGTCAGGTTGCTCCAAGCCCTGTCTAACCTGGCCTTGGACACTTCCAGGGATGGAGCAGCCACAGCTTTTCCGGGCAACCTGTGCCAGGGCCTCGCCACGCTCACAGGGAAGAATTTCTTCCTCATATCTAATCTAACCCTGCCCTCTGTCAGTTTGAAGCCATTTCCCCTTGTCCTGTCACTCCAGGTCCTTGTCCAAATCCCCTCCCCAGCTCTCTCGGAGCTCCCTTAGATACTGAAAGGCCACAGTAAGTTCACCCCAGAGCCATTTCACTGCTCAGATGAATGGAAGAATCCTGTTCTGAATCGATCCAGTTTTGACCTGGGTAGAGACAAGGCCCACTGAAACCATTAAAGATTTATTCCTGACAGAACCAATTAGGCCTGGCTGCGCAGCAAAGACCTTAATTAGTCACATGACTCAAATTCCTTACTCATGCAATTGGCACCAGGAAATTAATTACAGCAGCAGCAGCCCAGGCAGGGTGGATGGATTGTGATTGTCATGGGGGGATGCACCAAGACCCACTGAGAGCTCAGGTAGACACACATCAGTCACAAAAACACTGCAGAAGGGAATTCACATCATTTGGACGAACAAAGAACTCAAGATCTTTCTCCTCAGGAAGTGCCTGAAGAATTTAATTTCAACCACATGAATAAGCTCAGCGTGTTTGGGCCTGTTGGAGGCACCAAGCCTAAAGGATTACTTAAGGCATTAATTATACTTACCCTTCCCTCTAGACCAACTTTAAAACATAAAAAAAAAAATAAAACAGATGGAAAAAATATTTTGTACCAAATATCCAGTTAATCTAAGGAGAAAACTGCGATGCTTATTTGGTATTAAAAGCCAAAAAAAAAAAAGTGCAGATTTTTGCTTTGGCTGGAAATGATCTTTCTCATTTTAACATATCTTACAGAAATTTAAACATTGGCTGAAATAATAGTTCTTAAAGTTATCTGAGTGGTAACAGTTGTGCTCGTGTTTCCTCCAAACATTTTGCCAGCCAACCACAGGAAGCATATCCATGTGTTTGTCAGCTGCAAAGAACACTTCTGCACTGTTATTTCAAATTTAGGTTGTGACCAACACCAGCTGATGAATTCCAGTGGGGGAACATCCTTTAAATGTGACATCTCAGTGCTAAAAGAGTCTTGTGTGTCTGGGGCAGAGAGTTTGATTCCTCTGAACTTACACTCAGGTCTCTGCACACACTTTAATTTTAGGGGTTATAGTGAACCCTCTGTTCTCCTGACTTATGAACCTGTACAGACATCAAAGCAGTCAGCAGGCTTAATTAGACACTTAATTATAGATCAGGGTGGTAAGGAATGCATTTGGGAAATAAAGACATGATTTTCAAAGCCAGTTGAATGCCAGTGTGGAGAGTAACATTGGCAGAACAACGGTGAGCAGTGCCCTTCACATCATTCATAAAAACAGGGTTTGGGGTTGAGCTTTGGTTTTGGTGGTTGGGAGTTTTTTTAACTAAAAAGAGGTCCTAGATATTTCTAGCTTTCAGGTCTGGCACATTAGCACCTTTCATAGGTGAAACAGGGTTTGTACACCCACTTCTCCACTTGGCTGCATGGGTAAGGAAACACACTTTACCAGTTTGAGATTCTACAGAAAGCTTTACCTCTGACTGCCAGATGTTTCCCTTTCCCAAGCTTTGCTACTCCAGTTTTTCCCTTTCCTTCACTGGATAAACAAAAGCTACACACACTTCTATAGCCAAGGAAGTGCAAGAAGTAGAGCTGTGAGCATAACTGTGCCAGCAAATACAGTAAAACCAGCAAATCCCAATAATTTGTCATCTGGAATAACTGTTTTGCTCTTATAGATAAAATAGAAAGATTATAAAATATGTACAGAATTATAAAATGATTTGGGTTGGAAGGAACCTTAAAGTTCATCTTGTTCCACCCCCTGCCATGGGCAGGGACACCTTCCACTATCCCAGGTTGCTCCAAGCCCTGTCTAACCTGGCCTTGGACACTTCCAGGGATGGGGCAGCCACAGCTTCTCTGGGCAACCCGTGCCAGAGCCTCACCACCCTCACTGGGAAGAATTTCTTCCTTATATTAATCTATCCAGTTTGCTATTCCCCTTTTCTGATTCATCCTGTCATCCCACAGGAAGAACTGAAGATGTTTAGAACTCTTCTCTCCCATCTGTGTTATCTTCCCTTCATAAAGTACATTTAATTATGTGTTTTCTCTATTGCTGTTTGGAACTTCCCTGTTTTTATTTCTTGCTACTTTCATATGCAGCTTCATTAACATGGTTTACACCCTCCACCAGAATAATTAAATTATTTTTAAATAACACAGGCCTTTGTTATTTAAGGTCCCATGTCAGTTTTCAAAATAATGGCTGGGAATCATCCAACTGCAATTATGCTCTACCTACCTAAATTCTCTTTGTAGTTTTAATTAAAATACATTATCCAGTATGATTTCACCTCCTATTTTAAGTTCTTGTGCAGTACTGGTTAAGGAAAAAAATTATCTCTGTAAAGCAATTACTCCTTTTTGTGGAGTTAAATAGGGAGGATAAATACTTTCAGTTTATCCTAGCATGCAATGAGAGACTTCAGTAATCTCTAAAATTATCTTTAAAATAAGATACATTGTCTCTATAGGGAAAAATTGAGGAACTTGGAGTACTTTATCACTGAGAAGTGTTCTTCCTACAAGAAGAAATGTTAAGGGAAAGCAAGTCACAGATAGATGAATGCCCTTGAACAATGACAAATAAAATAGAAACATGGGGTGAACACTTAAGATTTGCCACAATAACTAAGCAACTTACAAATGTTACTCAGAAATAAGAATCTGAGGAAAAGCAGAGAACCTCTCCAGGATGATTAGGCATATTTATTAATAAATGAGGCTGACATACCAGCTAAAGAAGGAAAAAAAAAAAGAAAAAGCATTGGTAATGCAGTATATTTTTGGCAGATATTTAACACAGGAATAAAATTTGGATTTTTTTTTTAAGGTTCTTTTCAATCTCAGAAGATTTCTAAGCAAGTCCAGGTAATTATACTTGAGCATCAAAATCAGAGAGTTTAACCTGCCTTATTAGAGTTACCAGCACTGATTTTGCTCTCTCTTCTCTTTAGGTATTCATATTCAGTGAAATCAGCATCAAGAACTCTAAGAAAATAGACCTGATGCTTCCAGTCGTTCAGGTAATTCTGAAAGGAAGTTTAATCAGCAGATAACATCTCACCACAGAGAACAGGTACAGGCAAAGCCTCTGATTTGGGAGAGCTTGTAAGAGAACTGATGTCACACTCAAAGTGTATCTTCAGCTGAAAAAGTCACATTACAAACCTGTGCTCAGGTATCCACCTCATTGCAGAGCTCAGTCCAAGTGTTTCATGCAGCTCCAAGTAATAATCCAAAAGGTAAAGCCTTGTATTAATAAATTTCTTCCTCAAATTTCAGCACACACTGCAGGATCCTGTGTTATTAAGGAGTCCCCAGTAATTCTGTGGAATCAAAATTAATTATAGAAGATGTTTTCAAACAAAAACATTCTACTTCTTTTCCTCTGAGAGTTGGTAAATTGTTCTGCTCACAGAGAAATAAAGAGATATTCCCAGGAATTTCTGACTGAAATATCAAAGCCATTAAGGTGGAATTACCCCAATACACCTCATTACAGCCCGAGCAGCTGGTTCCATTAATGTAATCAATATTAATTTCTTTTAATTACACCCCAAGATATTTTCCCAATCTGAAAGCTGAATCCCACTTAAACACTTTTAATGTGATGGCTTTACTCACATAACAACCCAAACCACTGCAGAGTTTTCCCATGTTTACAACCACCAAAAAGTGAACCTGGTTACATACATTTGCACAAAGCTGGACTTCAGATATTGATGGAAGGGATCCGAAATGAAAGTTTGAATGTTTTTCATGTGCTAATATAAATAATTAAACAAAACAGACAATCACCCTCATTTCTAGGATCAATAATTTATTTCTTTTTTTTTTTTTTACATTTTGCAATTTGTTACAGGAGAAGAAACACTTGCTAACGGATGTGACATGTTTTTGAACCATTTTCCAAGGTAATGGAAAAAGTTAAGCATATTCCCTAGTATGCACATTGATGACTAAGCTGCCAATATGAAATCAATTTAAGCAAGTGCAGTCCCTATTCAATCCTTGTATAAATTAATTTTAGGACTCTCCTTCTCCTACAGGAAGACTAAATTGTAGCATCTAATTTTTTTTTTATCCTGAAGTCTCAATCTTTGCTCTCTCTACATATCTATCAGCAATAAGTCAGTTTAGTGACTGAAGCCAAAGCCACAGAAGTGGATTCCATGCCAAGGTTCCTTTTATTCCTGGTGATCTACTCAGTTCCCTACTGTCCCAAAGGGAAACAAAAGACTCCCAGTTTTCTGAAAACCAGATTCTCTGCACGACAGTGCATTGCATTGCCACGGGACGGGCCACAGTGGATGTTCTCCTAGCAAACAAATCAGGGAACTAACAAGTACAAAGAATTAGAAATTAACTTGGTAAAAATGCTTCTAACATTTTCCCAGTGGTGTATTAACCAGAATCCTACTTTCGTTCCACAAAAAATAGATATATTTTTTTATAAATACATTTTAATACAGACAACTCTGCTGCTATGCCAAAAAAAGTCAATGTCACATTCAAACAGGTTTGCTGGGTGTATTAAGATACAAGCAGACGTCACAGCAGGCATGAACACAGGGCTTGGAGGGAGGCTATAGACACACAAACACCATTTCACCCGCTGGGTCACACTGACCAGTGACATAGAAAACAACTGAGCTGCAGCGTTGAGACCTAGAGCATCACACTCTCCAAATACTTCAAATATTTCCATGTATAGAAAATGATACGAACTGTGAATGACATTTAATATTAGTATTGAAACATTTCTATAAGTTTAGATAGTGCTTATGCTGGGGGTATAGAGAAGAACCACGAAATGAGGCTCCTACCTGACTCAGACTCAAGAGAAAACGTGTTTACACTTACCATGGCCTTGAATCTCTTGGGTCCAAATAGCTGAAATTAATTCTTTTCCTGTCCTTGTCCCCCTCTCCCCTCATTTTTTTCCCCCCAAAGAGTCAATGCACATAAATCTGCCCAGCTTTTGTGCCATACATACACATTTCTAGCTGCTCCCCCGCACCCCTATAAACGACAGCAATCATCTCTATAGTTTCCTTCCTAACCAGATCTAATTAAAATTGAGCTGTTAACCATCTTTTGCAGGTTATGAATAATTAATACAGCATTTTTATAATACTTATTAAGTATGGCTGTTGGACATTAGCATTTTCTTACCTTAAATAGCCCCCCATCTTTGCATGACTAAGAGTTCTCTATAATTTTTGTTATGAAGATTGGAATTTATTTTTTATGGGTCGATATGTAGCACTATTTCTCAATATACTTTAACAGCCTTTTCTCAAACTGAAGGTATTTGGAAGTTGGTAGCCTGCATGTTTCACACACAGCCAGCCATCACTGTGACACTCAACACAGGATTTTGGAATGAAACTCAAACAGAGGACAGAGGTGGAAAATAGAGCATCTTACTGACCTGCTCAAAAACAAGACATAGAGAGAGATTGCGAGCAAGAACTAAACCCCAACACATTGTTTTCAAACCTACAGAGACTTCCTACATTAAATTAAATAAATAAATAAATTCTTCGGAGTCAAGGAGAGTGGATCATTCAGTTATTTCATAAATGTCACCACACAGAGGATAATTCACAGAAACAATTTTGGCTTTTGCCACAAAAAGTTTCTAGAATTTAAACCACAGTTGATGTGTTAATTTTAAAAATAAATTGTTCTCTTCCTGCCATGGAAGTGTGAATGAATAGAGCATGCAGCATGGCAGCTCACCACCAATGTATTACTGCTGCTTTTCTTAAAAAAACCTGACATTTCAAGGAATCCAAGGCTGACAAAGTGAAAAAAATGTGTCGAGTTATAGTTTCCTTGAAAGAACGTGTTGAGCTATAATTTCCCTGTCTCTCAGAAAAATTATGTCACTATTAGCACACACAGAGACTTAGTTTCTTTTTCCAAGATTAAGTCACTCTGTAAAGCACACACATAATCCTGTCTTATGACAGGAAACAGCCGGGCATTATTAGCAGATAATCTTGGTTAGCTCTTAGATGTTTTCTTTCACTTTCGGAAAGTCACATCCTGAATTGCCAGCCTGGCTTGTTAAAATAGAGTTGCAGTGCTAATTAAAGCAACGTTTAAAATGGGACCAAGGAAGAAAATAAAAGAATTCTTTTTTTCCAGAGCCATTACTTGGTGATTTCGCAATGAAATTCCAAAGTAAACCCCAAATAATTAATATTAAAACACCAAATAATTAACTAGACCCGGAGATTAACAAATTCTTCTGTGAACAATGCTGCTAAGATATAATTTTTCAACCGGTTTATAGTAAGAATCAACTGCCAATTTAAGGGGAAAAAATGTGGGTTTCACTTTACAGCTTATCTGATTCCCACAAGTTTGTAAAGACTGTGGATGCAGATGACCTTAAAGAAATGCTAACAAGGCGTTTCCAAGTAAAACAGGGAGATAACAGTGATAACTGCTCCAGTGAAACACAGAAAAAAGCACCTTCATTACACTTCCCACAGAAAGTTTTGTTCTTTGTCATGGTTTAAGAATCAGAATTTGTTATTTGTAGCAAACTCTGGGGACTTTTAAAACAAGTAAAATTCCTCCAACTTTACCTAAAGCTACAATAGGTTGAAACTAATTTTACTGAAGATGTCCAATCTTTGTTTCTGGTTTAAAATATTCCCAATAATACTAGACAACAAATTGACTCAGTAAAGTATCTCCTATATGATTCACACCAAATTTTCTGTTAGTCTGGAATTACTACCCATGGAATCTGAATTATCAGATTTCAGGAGATCAGCAGCAGATAATTCATACTGTTGTGTTTAACCTCAAACCTACCCTAAAATACAGTGTCAGAAAGTCCATCCAACAACACACTGCCCTCTTGGGGACAGGGTGATTTTCTCGTGGTTCTTTTATAAGGGGCATGTCTACCACTCAAGTTTCCATTGACTACAGTAATATTTTTATGGAATTATTTTGGTTTTGAAGTCCAAAGTCTTAAAAGGAGCAGAACATGACTATTGCAGGTGACAACAATGTGCTGTACAGAGAGGAAACTCTGTACAACGACCCAAGGGTCCACAACAAAGCACAACAAATCTCACCAAGACATACTGAGATGTATATTTCCATATTAAATATATGGCTGGTTATTCTGGGCAAGTACCATTCCTAACAGTCTTTTAAAAATCTTATGCACACAAGTGACTATTATGAACAGCAGGTGAAAAATACCACCAAAAACCCCCTGTGCAGGGTGCTAATTATAAACACACATACTCTCTTCTGTCTCTAAATCAACATATTTTCTCCTTCAAGAGTTGAAATGAAATTCAGAAATACTTAAACTTGCAAAATGTCACTACATATATAGCTAGTTTAACAGCCTTGATGCAAAAAGAAAAGGGGGGGAGGAATGACAAAATTTTTGAAACTATTTTCACCTTTAGTAATTATTGTGCTGTAAAATCAATGATCAGTAGCTCAGAGCGTTATACAAATAATGAGGAAATTCTTTGTATCTCTCAAACAGATCAGTCAGCCATAGGCTAGCTGTATGATTTAATACACTAGAGACAAAGAATAGTGATAAATACAAGTCTCATCGTGATAAGAATTACTATAACTACTAGTTGTGTAAAATCAGTGAACTTTACATACTTTCGTAGCTACCAAGCTTAATAAAAACTCTGTGCTGTAACCTAAACTCACTGTGTTTTCTTTAGAAAACTGAATCCTCTCTCAGAATTCAAGAAAGCCAAGCCAAATACAACCTGTGACACATTTAACAGTGACCACAACCCCAGCAAGAGCACAAAAACCTCCCTGTTCTTAGGCTACACTTGGAACCACTTGTAGTCCTGTCTGACGTAGGTTGCGACTAAAAAGATGCTCAGCACAACTGGAAATGGTATTTTATAAAAATTATTACAATCACACCTATCCGAGGCTAACATAGAATGTTCCACTTCAACTCACAGAATTAGACATGGAGACATCAAGTATTTATAGAAATATCTACAAACTTCAACTGCCTTTTTTTTTTTTTTTAAGTATCAGTGAACTGACCTTTAGAGTAGGGGTTTCATGACAACAGGCCACCCCATACTGGTTTATTCTTGGTGTTTCTACTTCTTGGGTAAAATTGGTCTTAAACTTCTTCCAGAGTCTGAAGAGAGAGTTCTTGCTAAATTTTTTCCTGGGCCTTTAAGTTGTACATTATTAGACTGTTTCACCAGTATTAATTATCGATGTGAAACATTTTTAACAAAGGAAAAGTACTGTCATAACATTCTTTAAATGCAGATACAAATAGAAAATTGGAAATTCCACATACTCCAGCTGCCATAGACAAATGAAAGTGTTGCTCTAACAAGCAGTGCTGAAGCCCTTATCTTGGTATTGAGCAGAGATAAAAAAAAATAGACACGGAAATGTGTAGCATGAATAGGCTGAATGTTAGCTATGTGAAAATGTTAAATAAAGCTAAAATCCTTCCATTTTTCCTGATTATTCTGCAAAACCTGAAATGAATGGAAGGTACTTAGAGAGGTTCATAGACCCACAATGGTAATTTACCTTCACCTGAAATGTGAAAGGACAGTACCCAATTAAAACAGCTCTGTCATTAAACTACTGGTCTTCACTGCGAGTTTCAGCATTTCCAGGATTAAACAGAACATTAAATAGAAGGACCAAAACTAAAGGATGAAATACTTATGGAAAGAGCCAATCTAAAGATGAAACTTGACTTTGTGACATGCTATGTTCAACATTTTTGACGGGATGAACAAGTTAAATTGGCCTTTGAAGCACTGACGAAGAGAAACAACCAACCAAACCTCTGTCTCTGCATCCATCCACTCATGTGGTTTCTCTGATTACATTCTTTGGGAAAGCAATCATGTCCTAAAAGATACTTGAGGGCAAGAACACAAATTCACAGAATTAGGGCAAAATCCCCCAGGTCCCAACAAGGCCATTTTCAAAGCAGACACTTAAAGAACTTAGGGAAGTGGTATCCAAAGATCATTTAGCTTAAAGTTCTGAAGAACTGGGTCTGCTTCAAAGCTCAAAGGAGATGAGACCGGCAAATTTAGTCATGAAACTCCTACTGTGGCAAAGAGTCCTTGGTTTTGTGGATCCTCGTCCAGTTGACACTGCAGGCAACAGAACTGAAGGTGTTGGTATCCCTGACGACTTCCATAGGAAAGGGGAGGCCAGCGCGGCCCATCCTGCGCTCAAGGTCCTCCACTGTATGAATAATCTGCCTTGTTGTGCATCACCAGCTTGTTGTCTACAAAGTAGAAACTGTCCGACTGTGTCTCGTAGGGATGAAGGATCATCTCTCGAACTGCAGGGGGTAAAAAAGGACAAAACAAACGAAATTAACAGTGTCACACTGCAGACCTGCTCAGGAAACGCCCCGCAGGGTTTCAGGCAGCTTTCGCGGCGTCGCTCAGACAGCAGCAAACTCTTCAGGTGAAAAAACCCAAATGGGAACCAACCCAAGGCATTTGCTGACAGCATCTTTAAGACAACTCAAACATAATCACGGAACCACGGAACCATGGAATCATTTATGTTGGAAAAGCCTTCTAAGATCATCAAGTCCAACCACTAACCCAGCACTGCCACGTTCACCACTGAACCACCTCCCCAAGTGCCACATCCAGACAGTTTTTTGAACACTTTCAGGGATGAAAAATGTTCGTAATCCAAATACATCAAGGCACCATAAAAGGGTAACTGCTCCACCTAACCTCAAAATGAGATCACACTACAGTTTACAGGGTTTATTTTGCTGTGTTTTTTAAAAGAGAAACATGATTAATGGTGAACTCAAAAGAAATTTGTTCTGGTCTGATAATAAGCATGCAGTAAGTGTCTCACTGTATTTCCTACAGACTGTAATATTAGTGCTGACATACACAATTAGGGGTTGTAAAGAATAAGATCATACAGATTTAGTGCTTGTGCTGTTGTGTCTTGGGAGAGAGGAGAGACAATAAAAGTTATGTTCATACTAAAACCTCTCGAGCTCTCAATATAGCACATCAAACATTAAAACAGAACATAACATTTAAGTCATCCATTTATTGGATGCGTTTTTAATCCCATTTTTTGGTTGTTTTATAACACAATTATCTTTTTTCTCTCTGATATGAAGCTTCCTTTTTACGAATTAAAAAAACACACTAAAAAAGCAACTCTGGCGGGTCATGGGATGCAAGCTACCAAAAAACAAAATCAGTGTTAACACAGATCTAAAAGTATGAATTATTCTACCCAACATACTCTTTACAGACAGCTTTTAAGAAAGGGCTCCCCCAAACCACCTCAGGTGAACATCACAGTGTGATAACCCAGAAATGAAAGCGAGCTTACTGAGATCCTCCGAGAGCTGGGGGAATTCATAGATGTGCTCACAAGTATTTTTACTGCTGGGGATGCAGAAGCCAAATTCAAAATCAAAGCTTTTCAGCAGCTGATCGCGGAAGTAGTGCCTCTCAATCATACGGAAATTATTAATGGGTTTGTCCCCTACTGTGAATTCCACCCTGAAAAAGAAGGGTAAGATTGATGTGAGCTTTCTTGCCTAAATAAGATTTGCGTCATTCCCGAAAGATAGGAGAGAGCTCTGAAAAAAAAAAAAAGCCAAAGATATAAATCCACGACACCAACTAAATTATCATTTCCTCTTTTCATTAAAGCCTTCTACAGGGACACAAACACAGCATTACAAACCATAGTTTATACTATATTTTCCTTCTTTTTACTCAAAATAGAGACAAGCAAGACAATTCTTTAGGTGTCAGATTTTGTGGTGGTTTACTGAAGGATGCAAGCAGTGCTGCCAGACACAGCAAAGGTCAAACATGACCTCATCATTTCACATGTATCTGTGGATCGATGTTTTTTGGGGAGTGCAGTGTGGAAGCTGAAGACAAATCTTCTGAAGCTGGCAGGAGCCTCTGACAAATAAACCATAATGCACAGAAAAGAGCTGGAATATAAAATCACGGAATGGTTTGGGTGGGAAAGGACCTTAAAGACCATATAATTCCAACTCCCCCTGCCATGGGCAGGGACACCTTCCACTACCCCAGGTTGCTCCAAGCCCTGTCCAGCCTGGCCTTGGACACTTCCAGGGATGGGGCAGCCACAGCTTCTCTGGACAACCTGTGCCAGGGCCTCACCACTTTCACAGGGAAGAATTTCTTCCCAATATCCCATCTAACCCTGCCTTGTCAGTGTGAAGCCACTTCCCCTTGTCCTGTCACTCCAGGCCCTTGTCCAAAGTCCCCCTCCAGCTCTCTTGGGAACCCCTTTAGGCATGGGAAAGTGCTCTTAGGTCTCTCCAGGGCCTTCTCTTCTCCGGGTACTCTTCCCACCTTATTTTGCCCCTTTTTGCATCAATCTCTTCGACACCATTCCTGAGGTAAACAAACAAGCTACAGGGATGGAGAAAGCGAGACATCCAGCAAAGAGACTTGGAGACCCTCACGACAACAAAAGATCCCTATTACGTCAACTTCCTGACAGGATCAAAATGGAAGAGCCATTTTCTCTAGGATTTCAGTTGCTTCCTGTGCTAGAACAAGCAGCAGAGGGGAGTTACTCACGTGGCTCCCACTTGCCGCAGCCTGAGAAAGGCCGGGGTGAACTGATAGCGAACGAAGCGTCCGGCGTTGGGGTCCACGTCCTTCCTGTCATTGTGCTCACGCTCTGGAAAAGGGCAAAGCAAACCCTGTCAGAGTAATCTCAGAAACAGAAACCCGGTGAAAATACTCGTGATCACGTTATCGAGTAACATAAGCCAGGAAACCACTCTGAGGAAGCCTGATGGTGAGCTCACCCTCCTGCTGTCCTGAGGCATCCACTGCTGGTCACTTGGAGATGGAGTACTGGAAGATGGACCTATAGTTTGAGTCACTGCTCACCATCTGAAGTGATTCACTGCTCCTACCTCAGATCATGACTGCAGAGTGACTCTGAACAAGCCATCTCCCCTTAGCATGTCTGGTTTGCTACCCATAAGCTACAGAAAACTTCCTCTCACCCGCAGGAAGGTGGGGAAGGGTTGTAAGTGCATAATTAGGAAAAAAACAGTTGCCCCGGGGTTTTTATTACCACTGGCAACAGGTAACACTTGGATGGTTACAAGTACCATCTAAAAATTCAGAAAAAAAAAAAGGCAAATTTTCAGTTTGTCTAATTTGCCCAATTGACAAAGTTTCTCCCTTTTGGAAATATTATTTTCCTGGGTCCTTAGTGAAAGATGTTAAACTAACAGCAAAACTATGCACAGGGGGGGCACAAGCTGATGAACAGCCAAGAAACAACCACACGGTGATCTCCTGCTCCTCCTCCTCTGCTTCTGTTTACAACATCCATCTGTCCTTTCCCGTCACAGATGGCAACCGTGAGAGCACAGCAGCAGCGAGCTCTGCTCACCGTGCTGGTACAAAGAGACACCTGAAAAACATTTCTGCTGCAAGCTGGGACTCCAGCCCTCCTGCAGTCAAGAGCATCTCCTGTTTTTGGGAAATGTACAGAGTAAAAGGAGTGGGAAAAGGCAAAGGGAAGCAGACACCAGCATGTGTTTGTTCATGGAAATGTTATTTTGTGTGTGCACTCACCTGAAGCTGCTGGCTTGGTGATTTCAAACAAGACTGTGCCAGACTCCATGTCCCGGATTTTAAACCTGGTGAAGTCTATCTTGTAAACATTTTCCTCTGGAGTGCATAAATAATCTGCAGAGGAAGAAAAATTTGAATGAAGGCTGCCCTGAAATACTAGAAATTTCTAGCTGTTCTCTGGAGGCCACACAAGCAGTGAGAGCAGCCCAAATGCATACCCACTACTGCCCATTTTAATTCAAAACTGATGTCTCTGAAGAGTCTAATTTCTGAATGCCCTACTCGGACAGGACAGGGAAAAGCCCTCTCTCCCCCATAGACCCGGAGGTCATCACCTTTTCCCAACCCTGTGCCAGCAACTTCTGCACCCATTTACTCCCAGGGTACTCAGACTAGTCAGCACCTCCATCAAATCCCAGCCTTTCCAATGTAAGAGGCTTTGCCTGTTTTAAAAACTGCCCTGTGGCAGAATGCAAGTGCTAAGCAGCTTTGGGAGCACTAAGCCGACTGCACTTAACTGGAACAGGACTGTCCTCCCTTGTGCCACCTCCCTGCTCCAGCCCTCTGCAGACAAAGGGTGGCCTCTGCTCTCCACTGATACTCATTCCACATAAGGACTTGTTTTCCTCAGCACTGAAAATGGCATTGAAGCCTTTCCCTGTATTAGGAAAACAGGGAGCAGAGCCCATCCCCACTTCCAGCAGTCAGTGTCTTTGGGAGAAAATCATTACAGAATCACGTAGTTGTTGAGGTTGGAAAAGCCCTCTAAGATCACCAAATCCAACCATTAACCCAGCCATGTCCACCACTAAACCATGTCCCCAACTGCTACATCCACATGGCTTTTGAACACTTCCAGTGATGAGGATTCCACTACTAAACCCTCATGGATTTAGCCTTCAGCCTTGCTGTGCCCTGAGCCAGCTCCTGGCATGGGAATGAGCCTCCTCCCTGGGGAAGGAGCACTGGTGCCTCATTTCCACTGCACATACAGCACAGATTGAAAATAGCTCCAATAACTTACTTTATCCTGACAAATCTAAATAAATGCTGTATGTAAACAAGTCAGGTCAGCTTTCAAACAGTTGCACATCTGCTTGGTGTAGGAGACTGGTTTTGGAGGTTCCAAGGTGAAAATAACACCTTAACATTATAATTCTTAGCACTTTCTCGGTTACTAATTCCTGCTGTTAATCTGAGCTAATCACTTATTTCTGTCTGCTTTCCTATTTCTGAAATTCAAATACATCCATCCACCTTAGGCTTAGTCACTGACTACATAAAAACAAGTCACAAGTGCCCAGAGCTCAGACCTCCCCATGACAACCCAACTTCAGCACAGGTATAACAAATCCTGGACTGCTGGGCATGAACATTTTCCTAGAAGCCTTTTATTCCTTCCAAATCTCCATAACTTGGGGAACTCTCCAAGTACACTCGGTACAAGGAACAGAGGTGTTAAATGTCCTCTCTGGACAGTTTTACTGCTCGCCAACATCCCCATATGGTGAATGCTCAAAAGAATGCCCAGAGAAGTTACGGATGCCCCATCCCTGAAAGCATTCTAAGCCAGGTTGGATGGGGTTTGGAGCAACCTGGTCCAGTGGGAGGTGTCCCTGCCCATGGCACAGGGGTGGAACGAGATGACCTTTAAGGTCCCTTCCAACCCAAACCACTCTGAGATTCTACAATTCTATAAATGGGCTTTAAGAGAGAGGACAGTGTTCAAAGCATCCCTGGCATTTGGCAGGGATTTTCCCTTCCCTATCAACACAGCACAAGAAGAACTAACACCAGCACCCACACTATCAGGCAAAACAAGCTAAAAGCTCAACTTTTCTACTACCACAAGAAAACACCAGGCTGGTTTTTGGCCAAATAGCCCAAGAACTGCACAGAATTGTCTTTTCTGTCTTTACCAGTAGCCAAGAAGACAGGACAGACATTTAAACCAAGCCCTTGCCTTAAGCCCTGATGTTTAGCATTCCTCAGGGAGATGTCCTCCAATTACACTGTGATTTTCGGCTCTGACACATCAGCCACCCAAATTCTTAACCCGTCCCACAACTTCCCAGCTCTGAGCAGCCACATGCAAAATACAAATTGATGGAAGCAGGCACAGCTTCCCACAGTCCAGCTTTGCCTCGCTGGGCCCACGGCCACAGGCTGCTTCCCGGGAAGGCGAGGGGCTGTACAGAAGAGGGGGCAGTCGCCTGGGAGCCCGGGACACCTTCCCTAGAGCACGCGGGCAAATGTGAAGCCACGTTTGTCTGCAAGTTAATTATTAAGTGTTTTTACTCCTGCAGAATTCCTGCCCATCCAGCACCATGGCAACAGCTTTATCCCCCTCCTTGGCAGCAGCGTTGCTGCAGTAACAGTGCCCATGACTCATCTGGAGCAGAGGAGAGCCAAGCAGAGCCTCCAAAGAGGAGTAAACCCTGGGTAGAATCCTCACCAGGCTCCTGCTCATTGATGTTTGCACCCCTACACTGCATTTTCCAACTCTTTTTGCCCCGAAAATATTTTTAAAACCCCTTTTTCTTTTTTTTTTTAATCAACGTGTCAGGATACAACTGGATGACATCCGGGAAGCTCAGCTGCCAGAATACTGCAATCAAGTGTTTTTTCCTCCCCTGGCAGTGCCCAGTCTCCTAGGAGGGAAAAAAAACAGAGGAATATCTATTCCTCTCAGTCTGTATTATATTTGTTTCTGCTATTCCTGTTCAAAAATCAATCAAAGTAGCCACGTGTTGGTTTTTTCCCCATACATAACAGGAGCCTGCGGCTACACTGGAAGGTCTTATTGGGAATGGGCTGCTTGCAATTGGCAGATCCTTCTGCTTAGCTGAGCACTGTCAGATTTGCTAATCTCATCCCATACTTATTTTTAAATTACTGTAGGGCCCAGTTGCCCACACTTTCGTGACTCACTTAAATGTATCATTTGCTTTCCTTATCTTAATTCACCATGGCCACAATTTGGGGAAAGAAGGCAGCATCCATGGTTATTTTAGTTAGGTATGAGGCAGCTCAAACCCCTGTGGAGGGGATCATTACAAGAACGGTGGGTTGGTTTCTCAGGACAGAATATTTTCTCGTTTCTTCCACTTCCCCTGGAGCAGGTTGTGTTGTTTCCCTACTAATAACCAAATAATCACGGTATGTCCCTGACCAAGCCTTCAGTACTCACCTGATTTAGGGATGACAAAGCACGCTCTGAGCAAGGGATAAAGGGGCAGACAGCAGCACTGCCCTAGGAAACCCATCAGATTGGCTTTTGTCTCAAAGTACCCACTGCAAAAGCAGGTCAGAAAAGAGGAGCATTTCCTACTCCTTCCTAAAGTCCGGGGAATTGCCATATCCCAGACCTCCATCCCCACACTCTTCCTGGAAATCGTTCACCAAGTTGAACTTGATCTCAAAGGAAACAGCAAAGCCTTGAAATCTGCCCAAGCCTGGCATTAGCAGCCACTTCTCACTCACATATTACTACTCCTGCTGGTGCCTCTCCAGCTTTATTCCCATAATTTCTGGATCCTGCCCAAAGATCTGCAACTCCCCACTATTAGAGATGTTTTCTATCTTAATACCTACCGTGGTTTTGAAAAGTTTGGATCACAACTAACAACACCGTGGTGGTCTGAGGAAGCAGCAGAGGTGATTGACTTCCTGAGTCTGGCTCAGTGAATTCCTTCATGAATTCTCCTACTCCCTTTGTAGGAAAAAGTGATTCCCAAACCACCCCAAACAGTTCAGAGGACTCTAGCTTTGTTCTCAGACCCAGTGGGTGCTCCTTACCTGTATCAGTTCTGAGGTGGTACCTCCACTGCCTAATCCAGAGAAGAGCCAGTTCTCATCCAGGAAACCTTCCTTCCTTCCCAAATCCAACCAAAATTGCAAAATAAACCAGCAAAACAGCCTAGACAATGCCAGCAGGCACTGCCTGTGAACATTGGCACATCCTGAACCCTCGTGCATATTTCTAGGCATGTATTTTAACAGCTGGTGTTACAGAGGAGCACAAAAGGTGAGGGATAACACAGGGCTAGATAATACAAAAAGAAAGCTAACAAAGGCACTTTCTCCTCTGGCCCTCTTTCTGTTGTTCCAGTTACTCAATGGATAAGATTAGGTGTTTGATCCTCATCAGAGAAAGTTAAAAATCAATCCTATATTTTCAAATTTCCTTTGCAACCACCCCGTGCCACTAGGCACGTTTTATCAAGAGGAGTTTATGGGCAATAGGGTTCACACTCCTTGTTGTGCTCCTTTCAAGATCCCTTCTCCTTCTCTGCAATCAGGAGAAAGCACGTGTCCCCTCTCACAGACACCATGGATATTTCTGTGGTGCTCATCAGAGTCTAAGCCCAGATTGGGCAGCTCCTATTTTAAGACCTCAAGAGCCCACAAAGGAAAGCAGAGTGCACCTGGGGTAAGAAAGAACTCAAAATCTGGTCTTGAAAATGGGTGTAAATCAGGAGATGCTGTACAAGAGAGTGATGGAAGGGTAGTGACTTGAAACAGGAATTTCTCTCCCCAACACAGGCAATAAACAAGAATTTCGGGAATGAATGAGAAGGCTCCAGTAGCTATGCAGGTCTATTTCTTAACATGCATTAACCAACAAGGTCAGGAGCTATTTTGAAGGCAACTCCCAAGACCTAAGCCAGGTATAAGGCAAAGACAACTGCAGAGGAATTGCCAGGAGCTGGAGATTAGGAGATTATCAGATTGAAGAGTCTCAGAAGGAAGCGAGCAAAAATAGCCCGAACCCCGTGAAGATGCCAAGCAGTGACGCAGGACACAGTGCAGGACCTCGAGGGGAAGGCAGGGCAGGTTCCAGGTGGTATTGACACATCTGCCCAGACAACAGGAGGTCAATTAAAGAAAAAAATAAACTACTTCCTTGTCCTTTACCTTAGCAGTTCAAGTCCTGTAAAACTAAGCCATCCAGGATCCAGAATCCACTCCATTTCTAGAGCCATGGGGTTTGGTAACCAAAGACGGGGGGGGGTTACACAGGGAAGGAGGCAGCTGCCCTCCCACCTAGCTCTATTGTGATGCCCCAGAGGAAAAATCCTGCACTAGAAGGATCCCACAGGAGTTTTTCCACAGCAGCACATTTACTGACCAACACTGTGATGGAAGCAGAGGGGTGCAGCCCAGCAGGGTCTGAGCTGGGGCACTTTCCAAGGTCCCCAGAGCCCCTCAAGTGCTGAGTCCTACTGCACAGCTCACCAGGCTCTGCTTTTTGTGGCAGCCTGCTCATCTCTTTTTTTTTTCCCCTTTCTTTTTTTTTAGCTAGAGCTTTCCAGACTTCACCCTCTCACAATTAATTTGATCACAGCCCTGCAGGCCTTGTTAAGGAAGGATGGAGCTGTTCTTCCCCCACCTCCAAAGCATCCAAACACTTTTTCCTGCCCCCTTTTCATGCTGATTGCACTCAAAGTCTGAAACCACGTGCACAACACTAATAAAATCAGCTATTTTTGCTCTTACACAGGGCTGAGCCAAAGCCATCCAGTTCTGCCCAGGCTCCCTGGTGGATGCCACAGCTTTCCTCTTACCTTTGCCATTTCCACCAGGGATGGCCCAAACCCACAACCCTGGCAGAAGGAGGAATCCTGTGACACACACCCACACCATGTGTGCTGCCCCTGAGAATCTTAACAGCCCATATTGTACTGTGAGACTTCCAAAAACACCCTTCATCTACACAACACCCCAAGCCACGTGGCATCACACAGCCTTGGAAAGGTTCACAGCCTATGTGGGGGTGCTGAGGGAAGAGTCATGGAGAGAGCAGCTTGGCACAGCTCTGGCATATCACTCTGAGACAAGAAATCAGCACATCAAAACACATCGACACATCACAGCCCTGGACAAGTCAGAACAGTGATTCATTAACATCCTCACAAACACCCGCAGCTCATCAGAGCTCCTAATAAAATACATTCTCCCAATTAACTGGGGAGGGAAGTCATGGTCCAGGAGTGGCTTTGAAGATTGATTCATGCACATCTGCCTCACATTCCTGTTAATGCCTCCCTCCCTGTGTACCCTCCTCGTCCTTGCTTATCCAAACCCTATGGCTTCAAAACTGGATTTGATCCTGGCTGGTTCAACTTTACAGGACTCGAACTGCTGAGGCAGAGGGCAGGGAAATGGTTTACTTAGCTTTTTGATTATTTGACTACAGGGAAACTGGTATGAAAGTCACATAGGAAAGGTCTACTCTGCCCAACCCACTGAGGCAGCCAAGCTGGCCTTTAGCTAAAGCTGCCTAGAGAAGTCTCAAAGAAATCCCCAATGACAGCTCGAGGAAGAGATTACTTTCAGAAATGATTATGTACGTGTTCCTTATTTAAAAATAAGGTTTGTTTTGAAATTGTTTCCAAGTATATAATCCATTATTTAACCCCTTGGTTCGCTAAAATAAAATCAGCTTTAGAATAAAACCCAAAATGCATGATTTAATCTTGTATTACAGACAAAGTGTGCAGGTGATAAGCAGGGCAGCCTCAGAGGATAGAGCTTGTCTTTTGTTACGTATCTGACTCCTCTCATCCTCTGGTTGCTTCAGTAATTAATTACAATTTGAACTGAGCTCTGCCCCACTCCTTTACTAATCTTAAATTAATCACGTCATAAGGCTTTTCCGCTTTTTCTGACCACAGTTGTGTGAGCGAGTAACAAATCTTGCTAATTGCAAAGGAAATGGCCCGCTCGCCTTACACCTGATCCAGCTGGAGCAGCGCCAGAGCCAGCCCGGCCAAAAGGCCCAGATATCCCAGGGCAGCATCCCAGATCTGTCAGGCTGGACCCCCCACATGCCCGGAAATGTTATGGGCCTGGAGATGCTGGAGAATTTAACATTGAAAGGACATAGCATATGCAGGGCAGTTTGCACAACTCCCCCTTTAAGCTTATTAGAGGCACATTAAGAGCAGAGCCCAGCTGGCTCCCCTGGCTGCCCACAGACAGGGTGTCCTGCCACAGAGCCACATCCTGCATCACCACCCTCCCAGTCCCAGCCATCTCACATTCGGTCATTTGTCAGCTGTACCTACTGGGAAAGGAAAGACCAGTTGTGCTTCCTGATGGAAAGATTATTAGGAAGAAATTCTTCCCTGTGAGGGTGATGAGGAACTGGCACAGGTTGCCCAGAGAAGTTGTGGCTGCCCCATCCCTGGAAGGCTCCAAGGCCAGGTTGGATGGGGCTGGGAGCAACCTGGTCTAGTGGAAGGTGTCCCCAGGGCAGGGGGTTGGAATGAGATGGTCTTTAAGGTAAGACTAGCTGTAAGCTAGCATTCCACCTCCCCTCACACAGGCTGGCAGGCCTCTCAGAAACACACAGGCTACTCATGGCGTAAGCATCCTTAAAACACACATTCCTGTGGTACCAAGCCCTCCTGAAGCAATGTTAAAACATGGCCAGGCCACCCCAGGACCCTGGGCAGGACACAGCTTAACTACACAGTCCCTCGACAGTGCGAGCTGCCGTGCCACTGGCCCATGAGTTTGGATAAAGATGGATTATCCTCTATCTGGAAAAAGAGAGGACACCCAGGGCACCAGGACATTTCTGCTGCAGCCCCACCACCAACTCCTCCTTCAACTTCAAACTGTGTGAAGCACCACAATTTTGGGCATCAAAGCCAGAATTGTTGCAACAGGGTGTGGTGTCTGCCCCGACTCAGCATCTCCAAGGGGAGAGGTTGGGCCTGGGGCAGCCATGAGCTCTCTCACAGCCGGTCCTTCCTCTTCCCTGCTGCTCAGAGCAGAAGAGTGGAACAGTTTCACATTGGTATTTTTGGCCATCTGTTTTTAGGAGTGTGGAAATGAGAAAAGGTCACAAAATGCCCCAAATAACCATTAGGTGTTAAAGACCTGAAAAATATTCTGGTATCTTTGCTCCCTGTTAAACCCACCAGGTGGAAAACTGAGCTTGAGAAGGGGAGCTGCAAAGCATTCCTAGGTGATAAGATACCATATGCTCAACGCAGATGTGTTGTTTACCTGTATCCCCAAATCCACATGGAGGATTTCAGGTGCAGTTTGCTGGCTCCCATGTACCCAGTAGGACAGAAAGCATTTCCCCTGGGAACCATGGGACATCCTCACAGTGCCTGGCTGTTGTTTGACATGACCCATCTGCACCCCTGCGCTACCCTGGTACCAGAAACTCTCACAGCAGGAGAGGAACAAAACATTTTCATGCATTTCACATCTTCCCTGTGCTCCAGAGCATGCTGTCCCAGGGTTGGAAGATGCAGAAAACAACCACCTCTGCTCCCAGCCTGGCTCAGAAGTCAGATTGACCAGATCAGCCTTCCCTGTGCCCTGGGAATGCAGATGCTTACCAAGAGCCATGCACCATGCACACAGATGCCACGTGAGGTCTGCACACCCCAGGAGCAAGGGTGCAGGATGGCCCTGTCCTCTCCAGACAGCACTGATGAGGGCAGGGACACACAGGCTGCCATGAAGTGAGCACACAGTGCTTAACACAGCTTGGATTCACCATCCAACAGCAGCACCTCCAGGGATGCTGGCAGGATGCTTCAGTGCCTGCTGCATGGCTCTCCCTGCTACAGGCAGGGGATTTCTAGGCCTGGGCAGTGAATCACGCTGCTGCAGCCCAGCACAGCAGCTTGGCTCAGAGAAGGGGACCCAATGACCCTCCAGCACCAGCAGCCCCTCTCTCAGAGGAGCCTCTGTAACCCCTTCCTGAGGGCTGAGACCACGTCCCCTCCCATCCTGCTCACACACACAGCCCCACAGGGCTGCCTGCACGCACCAGCACCCACAGCCACATCCTTCCTCTCTGGGGCTCGTCACACCCCACAGTCCTGGCCTGTGACACAAAACCGGCTCTGACACCACATCACAGAGCGCTGTGAGACACAGGGGAGCATGGCCAGACCCCCAGCCCCCTCCTCCTGCCCAACCTGCCAGTACTGAGAGACAACCCAAAGGTCCCAGGACATGCAAAAAGGTCTTTTGGAGGCACCAGGGCAAATCGTTCCCGGGCATCACCAAGACCAGGCTGACCTTAGGCACATGTGTAACTATGGAATGGGTTCAGTTGAAAGGGACTTTAAAGATGTAGTTCCAACCCCCTGCCATGGGCAGGGACACCTTCCACTATCCCAGGTTGCTCCAAGCTCCATCCAATCTGGCCTTGAACACTTCCAGGGATGGGGCAGCCACAGCTTCTCTGGGCAACCTGTGCCAGTTCCTCACCACTCTCACAGGGAAGAATTTCTCCCTAATATCTAAACCTGCCCTCTGTCAGTATGAAGCCATTCCCCCTTGTCCTGGCCTTCCCCCAGCCCCGCATGCTGCTACCCTGGCAGGTCCATGGCAGCAGACAGTCCCAACTGAGCTGTTCTGCCAAGCACAACAGACCCTCCAGTCACACACTCCCACCCACCAGCCCCCAGGATGCTCTTAAGACCAGGGGTACTTAAGACTGGGGAGGGAGATACTGGAGGAGGGGGGCTGAAGGATGGGCTGCAGTGAAGCCCCCCGTGCTGTGGCCAGGGATCCAGCCTGCTCCACTGCTGTGGGCACAGGGTGGGGGGGCTTCACTTAGGGCACAGACACAAGAAAGGGGTGATGGGGAGAGCAGCGAGGAGCATCGACCAGAGCTGAGGGACCGCATCCCTGGGGCGAGGGGTTGCATCCCCAGCTCCGGGCATCCCTGGTCCTCCGGTGGTACTCAGATCCCCAGCATAGACCCTTTCCCCTGCGGTGGTGCATCCCCAACTCCTTGTCCCCCGGGGAGAGGGGGACCGGCTCTCCCTTTCTCCCCAGGGTTAACCCCCTCGCCAGCCCCACGAGGACACGGTCCCCATCCCCTGCACACCCCTCAGCTCCCCGGTACAGCCTCCCCCGCCCCGCTCCATCCCCGGTACGCACCGCTGGTGACCCGCTGCAGCCCCAGCACGTCGTCGGGCCCGATGAGCGCCTTTCGGCCCAGCTCCTCCTCGGTCCTCGCCGCCGCCGCCCCGGCCCCGCCGCTCTTCTTCACCTTCATGGCCCCGCCGCCGCCGCCGGTGTGAGCGGCCCCGGCCCCGGCCCCGCTGCGCGCCGCCGCACCGGGAGGGGCATCGCCATCACCGCCCCCGGCCCGCCCCCGCCGGCACAGCGCCGCCCGGTCCGCGGGAAGGCGGGGGGAAAGGAGGGGAAAGGGGCAACGCAGCCACTCTCGCTGCTCCCAGGGGCTCGGGAGAGCTTCTGTTGGAGAAGATGGGAGTTCCCCCTCGCCAGCGCCCCTGCATGGGGGGGCAGCCCCCCAGGAACGCAGGTGTGGTGAGGACAGACCCCCCCACCTGCCGCGGAGAGCACAGGGGCACTCCATCATAACCCACCCCCTGACCCTCAGGCTGACACACAGAGGAGGAGCTGGACCCCGCTAAGGTGTGGCAGCCCCCAGGGGCTCTGCACCCCTCAACAGGACACAGACTCCATTACCTGCCCCCCCAGCCCCCCACAACTGAGTATTTTTGGCTAAAACCCCATAAGACAGGAGTAAACCTGTCCCGTAATATAATACCCATAAGGCAGGAGCAACCCCACAAAATAATACCCTTAAGATAGGAGTAACCCCACAAAGAAATTCATGGGGGCAGGAAAGCTGGGCCAGGGGAAGGCAGGGCAATAGATATCCCCCCCTCCCCAGATGGCTCATGGAGGTTCACAAAGCCCCACACCAGCCCCCCCGCACAACAGGGGGTTATTTATTTACACAGCAGCTTGTTCTGAACACAGTACAGGGCTGGGGGTGCACACAGGGAGCCCCCTCCCTCTCCTCTCTGCCTTTCTGGGGAAGGACACCCCGATTGAGATCATCTCTCACTCCCCAAAACAGCCTCTTTTCCCACTCCTGCACCCTGGCCACAGCAGACCCAAGCCAAGCTGCCAGGCCTGGCCTTGACACTTTCCTGGGCCACGAGTCTGTGAGAACACACCCCACGAGGTGGGGACAGCCCCAAGGCAGGGCACCAGTGCCATGGGCTCAGTCCATCTTGGTGGGCTCCTTCTTACGCTGCCTGGTCTCCCGGACAATCTTGGCCAGTGACAGGAGAATGGGGACAGCCATGGGCAGGAAGAGCGGGATGTAGATGGCAAATTTCTGATCGTCAGGGAAGTAGAGGAGATGGAGAAGAGATGGGTCAAAGAAGGCCCGTTCCGAGGAGGTGACGGCCTCCTTGCTGGCCTGGAAAGCCGAGTGCAGGTGGCCCATGGCCAGCTTGGCCACAGCAGTCTGCACTGAGGCCACTGCTCGGTACACCTGTGAGGGAATAATGCCAAGGGTCAGTCCCTGGCCATGGAGGACCACAGGGACACCCAGCCCCCTCCACTGCCCACCTCAGGGTGCCCCAGCCCTACCTCAGAGGCAACATCATCCTTGATGACAATGTTCCCGATCTTGTCCAAGAGCTGGGCCAGTGAGGTCAGTGTGGTGGACACAGTGGCAATGTTCTCCACAGTGTGGGCCCAGAGCAGGTGGTCCAGTTCCCAGTCGGCCAGCCCCTCATTCCCTGGGCTTTCCAGCAGGAACTCGGGGGGCACCTCTTCCCGAGACAGCCCAAAGAGTAACCTGGGAGTAGAGGGGAAGGTCCCAGCCCACATCACAAACTTGCATTTCCACAAGCTCCCTGCTCTTATTCCCTGCTATGTTCAGTACCTATCCTGCTTAATTGTCTCCTGGGTTTGGGGCAGGACAAGCAAACCCTCCTACCTTAAGAGATGGGAGATGTGCCAGCACTCCTGGCCATGGAGCAGTGATGGCCAGTAGCCAGCACCTCAAAGGCCACGAAAAGCCACCTTCAGCCTTCCAAAGCCCACAGTGTGAGAAGCAAATGAGCTGCTTGGGTCCAGCCTGCTCTGACCCCACTGATTTCCACATGGGCCAGGAGAGCACAGAGAGGTACAGGGAGAGAAGAGAGCATCCTCACCGGAGCTGGGCCAGGAAAACCTCCATGACTCGTGCCATGTCCACGTCCACGTGCAGCGGGAGAGAGGCTTGGGGGGAAGCAGGGGCTTCAACGTTGTAAACCTGCAGGAGAGCATGTCAGTGAGGCACAGCTGGAGCCTCGGGGTTGGCAGGGTCACCAGCTGGGAACGGGGAGCCACCACCTTGTCCAAGCACTGCCAGCACCCCCATGGTCCCGTACCATGATGCCGCCCCAGCGGGGGCTGTGGAAGGCGTTGGTGCTCACTGGGGCTCCGTCCTTGTCGTGGATGTACAGGGGGGAGTGGGAGCGCTCTGGCACATACAGCAGGAAGTTCAGCACGGGGTAGAGTGAGGCAGCGCTGGAGCCTGCAGTGGGACAGAGTCAAAGAACTCTCCTGGCCAGCAGAGACAGCAAGAGCAGCCCAGAGCCCAGCTCCTCCTTCACAGCCAGCCCCAAGCAGAACTGCCACACTGGCAGGTCTCAGTCACCCTTGCTCCCATCCAGAGCTGGCAGGGAAAAAGGGCACAGGCCACAGGCATAGCTGTCCCCTCTCCCTCAGCAGAGCCAGGTCCCGTGAGGCAGATTTCAGTGAGCCACACGAGCATGGTGCTCACCCAGACGAGCCTCCACGGGGTTGATGACGTGTGGGAGGCTGTGAGCACTCAGGAGAAAGCTGGAAGATTCCTTGTCATAGCGTGGTGTCACTCCTAGGACGGCATAGTACAGGATCTGCGGGCACACAAGGGACACGTTGCTGGCAGAGAAGCGCGTCCCAGGGCACCCGGGGAGCCCAGGCCTGGGCTCTCCCCACTGCCTCTCCCAGCCCTCACCTGTGAGTCCACAGAGAAGTTGGCCACCAAGCTCAGTCTGTCCAGGACGGGCTTCACGTAGCGGTTCACGGCCCCCTCGATGTCCCAGTCCACGGCGTGGGACTTGGGGTCGGGGTTCAGCAGGCTGAAGGTGATCTCATACCCTGCCAAGGACCCACGGCCTGTGAGGCACCAGCACAGCCAGCACCGTCACAGAGCTCCCCAGAGCAGCAGGATCTGACCCCTCCTCCCTGGCCTGCCCCAATGCGGGGTCACACACCAGTGCCCCATCACAGCAATCACAGCACAAACCCTGCCCCAGAGACACTGCAAAGGGAAGACCCCGAGGTCTGTTAGTCCAGAAGACACGCAGGGACGCTACGAGTGGAGCAGAGAGGGGATCTCCCCCAGGGACAGCGGGCTTTCCCCAGGTCAGGTCCGTACCCAGGCTGGATTTCAGGGAGCGCCGTGCATCAGGGCTGAGCCGGCTGTCAGGCACACGGTCCGAGAGGGCGGCGGCGATGGAGGTGGCCGTGAAGGACATCACCTGTGTCACCTGCTGGAGGCGGGCGTGGAGGGCAGCCAGGCCCCCCTCGGCCCTCACTAGGGCGCTGCGGTGCCTCCCCACATAGACACTGGTGCCCTGGGGAATGGGCAGGAGAACACCTCAGTGCCACCCGTGACAGCCACCTGTGACACGTCCCTCCCTCCAGGGCACCTCTGAAGGGTGAAGCACCTCCTACCTGAGGCAGGAGAGAGGAGGTTTCAGGGACCACGTACATGGTCAGGCAGCCCATCGAGATGTCCTGCAGCGGGTGCAGAGCAGCGTCAGCCTCTGGGGAACACAGAGTCATCAGCAGGGCTGGGAATTTCACTCCAATCCCCACTCTGAGACACAGCAAAGTGTGCCCTCTGCTCAGCAATGATGAGGTGCTCAGCACCTCTCCTCACCAGTCCCTTGCTCCAGTACCTCGTGCAGTGGCCGCAGCCAGAGCTGCCTCTTCCTGGGCCGTGGTGGCCCGATAGGCCATCTTGTAGCGGGCTGTGACGCTGGTTCTCACTACAGGGGGATAAAGCTGAATGAATCTGCTAATCCTGGTCCCCAGCCCCTCAGAGGTGGCTCAGAGGGACAAGGTGCAACCCCAGGAGGACACATGCCACAAGGTCCTTTGGGCACCAGCTGGTGACCCATCATGGCACGTGGCATCAGCTGGTCAGTGCAGGCAGCAGCACAGCTCCCCATCACCCAGGCACATCCCACCCTTCCAGGGCTCCATCGTCCACATCCCCAGGGAGAGAAGCTGGTCCTTTCCCTGCAGCACACTGTAGACCTCTGCTCCCTGCACTGCCGGCTCAGGGCAGAATCGTGCTGGTGAACGTGGGTTTGGGGTCTGGGGAGCTCCGGGCTGCCCGGGAGAGAAGCTAGGAGCAGGCTCGGACCCCTCGGGGAAGAACGAGGGTACCCAGGAAGGACAGATGGGGCAGGGACAGCCAAGGGGGGGCGGGGGCGTCTCTCACGGTTCACGGAAATCTTCATCTCCTGCACGTCCCTGAACGGCAGATGGCTCGGTAGGTCCTCGGGCACGGACCCCGGGCTGAAGACCACGGCGACGGGCACGACCAGCTGAACCTGCACAGTGGCAGCGTCAGCGCGGGCCCACGAGCCCCTCGAGCTCCCACCGGCCCCGGCCCCTCCCGGCACTCACCGGCTGCTGGCCCAGCCCGTCGATGTCCGCGTAGGGCAGCGCGGCGCGGTAGGTCTCGGTCGTTCTCCACCACAGCGGCAGCCCCAGCACCACGGCGATTGCCGCGAAGGACAGGGCGGCGCGCCGGCCCCGCGCCCGCTCTGCAGGGACGGCACTTCAGCACCGGCCCGGCTCCCTGCGGACCGGAGCCGGGGGACCGGGACCGGGACCGGGACCGGGACCGGGAGACAGCGAGCGAGCGCCAGACCGCCAACCCCGCCAGTACCTGCTTCATCCGCCGCCATCGCCGCCGCCGCCGCCATTTTCACTTCCTGGTCCGGCCGGGGGGCGTGGCCTGCGCCCAGCCAAGCCACTCAACGCTCGCTATGCCCAGGGTAGCCAATAGGCGCGGAGTGCGCCGCTCTGCGGCACAGACGGGCGGGCAGAAAAACCAATCAGACCATGTTCCGGCCCTGGGGAGGCGGGCCTTGCGCTCTACGAGTGCCGCGGAGGGACACGCGGTATTGCCGCGTGCGCGGGGGTTATGGGGGGGAGCCTCCGGTGCAACGTCAAGCACCGGGACTGGGAGAGGGGAGGACACGGGGA